TAACATGACGTCACAGATTGTTTATTGGCGGAAGGCTACAAGTACTCACGGAGAACGGCGGAAAATCTACCTGTTGAAATTTACCTGTTGCAGGTAACATTGACATTCGAGATCCTGTTATACTGATGGAAAGGATATGTTGACATAATTCCTTGCATCATTTAAATAATTTATGAAGCTTTTCTGGTGACCTTTAAAAAAAAGTAAAATCTCTTCTGTTTTCAGCTGAAGGAGAGGTTGAACTAGAAATATTACATATTTTACCTTTTGATTCAACACGTAAACGCATGTCTGTGATACTTCGTCATCCATTATCAAAAGAAATAACCCTTTATACCAAGGGAGCAGATTCAGCCATATTAAGTGTTTTAGATAAAAGTTTTAAAGGTATGTAACATGGAACCTCTATAATGATTTTAGTCTGAAGGTGAATATACTTTGATTGACTTTGTTTATAAATGTAAAAAATGTTTTGTTAAATTGGAAACTTTATTTGAACATGGAATTTTCATATTTTTTAGATGATGAAGAATATAGACTACAACGAGATCAAACTATTGAACATTTAACGCAATATGCCATGAAGGGTTTACGTACATTATGCATGGCTAAAAGGGTAAGTATAAATTCTAACCTTGTTACAGTGTTACATGATTATGTTAATATTCCGATCTTTGTATCAACTATCCCACATTGTAAAAACACTTATATAGATATACTACATGCTACGTTTCGATACACATACAGATATCGTTATCAGTATATCCATATAAGTGTTTTTAACTTGTGAAATCTACTTCTGTCTTATAAGGATTATATCCCACATTTATTTAATTGTGTTTGATAATGTGGAAATTGAATGTGTTAATGGTACACGGTATTAAATTTCATCTTTCAAGTAATTGTATAGATGTTTGTGTTAAAATATATTCTGATATCCATAAAATTAAACAAAATTACTAATTTTATTTATAAGGATTATGAGTTATGAAATCTTTACCCAATTAGGTGTTAATCTTATTCTGAAACTCCCCATTTGGCGCAAGTATATTGTCAAATCAATAGGACAGATAATGGATCAATTTGTGATGTATTGTCCTTTGGAATTTCTAATGCACCTATACTGTTTTACAATTTAATGGTCATCGTTATATTATCAGAACAAAACTGGGAATATTACTCAAATTTGTCTTACTTTTAGCAACTGATTATTTTACATTAATTAATACTATGGGCCATTATCAGCACAATATTAGACTAGCATAACACTCCCATTTCTCAGTAAAGGATTGCTATTGTGTCGAAAAACATTCATCATATACACTGCTTCTCAGTAAAGGATTGCTATTGTGTTGAAAAACATTCATCATATATACTGCTTCGACTTAGCTGTGACAGTAAAATATGACACTGCATGGCATATTTCTGCCTTTATTACTCCTGTTGGTGCAGAAAATAGTACTTTAAAGTTCTCTTGTACTATTATAATAGGTTTTAAAAGAAGGTGAATATAAAGCCTGGTTAGTTGAATATTTAGCAGCATCAGCTACCTTGGAAGAAAGAGAAGAACTGCTGTTAAAATCCTACTGTGATATAGAAACAGATTTAGACTTATTAGGTTAGTAATGTATTTGCTATTTTTTTTTATATCTGTATACATTGAATATTTCACATAAACATGTATGAATTAGTTTTAATTGATAATCAATAACAAATACTGAAAAAATTGTTGAAATTGCCTTGAAAAACTATCTTTTAATTACATAAATCTTTATTAAGTGCCATTCAACATATCTTGCTCTTATGTCCCAGGAACTTGGGATCCCAATCCTTTTAATGTTTTGTGTTTTGCTCTTGCTTTTTCTAGGTGCTACTGGTATAGAAGACAAATTACAAGATGGGGTCCCAGAAGCTATAGCTAAATTAGGTGAAGCAGGTATTAAATTATGGGTGTTAACTGGAGATAAACAGGTAACTGTATAATGTAATTTTTTGATCTCTTTAATGTGGAAACTTTTGTTATTATTTCATTAAACCACTCATATTCAGTCTTTGCATGGATTAAATATGATATAGCCATCTGAAGCTGTATCACCGTCCCCCCCCCCCCCCCCAAAAAAAAACAAACTAAACAACACATTTTTCAAATGCAGTGTCTCAAAACTAAGTTTCCAATGACAACATTTGGATTAGTGACAACAAATTAATTTTTAAAGTTCATAAAGCAGATATATGTGATATGTGATTCAAGTCAGTTAAAATATCCTCCTATAACCGTTACTCTGTATTTATTACAGGAAACAGCTATACAGATTGCATATTCTACAAAACTATTTACTAAAAAACAAGAAGTTATACTGCTGAATGCCAGAACTAAGGTAAGTATTGTTACTTTGTGAAACCTAGGGTGGGGAATGAAGGTTTTCTTGCAGTGCGTCTATCATTTTTGTTTCGCTGAAATTGTTAAAATTAAAACTTTTGTGAAATCTGTATGTAGCTGAATTACAGTTCAAGTTTGCATTTTGTTGAATTCTTTTAACTATTGACAGAATTGTGTATCCACAGTATCAACCTCTTATAGATGCATACATTGTAAAAAAATTTAGGGGTCAGTAGGGGAAATGTATTCCTTCAGAATAATTGTTGATTTTAGAATTTAATTATTCATAGAACAAACTTTATTTTAATCTTTAAGTGGCATTTAGTAACTGGATAGAGCAATAAACTATAACACATACTTATGGAAAAACAGCTACTTATTTATTTGAGTGAAATTTTGAAGAGTATTCTCTCAACTTTATTAGCTTAATAACGTTGAGAGAATACTCTTCAAAACTTCGCTCAAATAAATAAGTAGCTGTTTTTCCATAAGTATGTGTTATAGTTTACAACTTTATTTACCAGAATAAATCAAATGATATATAAATATATTGACCACAATATTTCTTTTATACTAGGAAGAAGCAGAAGCTCTTTTAAGACATCATTCAGAGCAAATATCTAAAGACTACAAGTCTTCACTTAAAGAGCATAATAATGACACATCAACAACAGTCTTTAGAGAATATGTTTTAGTTATAGATGGTACAACTCTGGCATTTGCTTTAACAGAGGAACTAGATCCCATTTTTTTGGCTCTTTGCCAGAAATGTAAAGCTGTTGTCTGCTGTCGCGCCACACCTATACAGAAGGGAAATGTAGTTAAATTAATTAAAGAAAGATTGAAGAAAATGACTTTAGCTATAGGTAATGTTTACAAGAAATACAATTGTTAATTTTGATATTATTTAGAGCTGTTACTATATTCTGAAGAAATTTCTAAAAATCATAAAGGGGCTGTTGGAAGCATGCTTTCTCTGGCTCCTATCTGTGACATTTGGGAAGGTTATATCTGGCCAAAATAACAATTGACATTCTCTTGCCATGCTTTGTCCATAAAGGGTGAGGCCCGTGCGAAATTTAAAATCCTCTCACTCACGTATCAGTGTTTTCACCAAACCGCTCCAAGTAATCTATCGGTACTTGTTATAAAATATCACCATGATCGATAACCAAAACTTAGTTGGTGTCCCAAAAGTCGAATTAAGTTTTGGACAGCGATCTTTCCAGTGTAACTCAGCAACATTTTGGAATAAACTACCATCAGAAGTTAAAGATGCACCAACCTTATTACAATTCAAGAGTTTGTTAAAAACACACGTGCTTTAAGAATACCTTAGACATAAAATTGTTATAGCACATAAACCATAATGTAATCAAGACTTTTTGTAGCACTATGTCCATATATTTAATGTATGGAGTTTAGCCGATTAAAAGTGCACTATTATTATTATTTCTGTGGCTAAAATAATCACTGGTAAATGTTACTTGTGGAATAATACCCACTACATGATTGTGATTTTGATATGAACTAAAAGTATTGGTGTGATCGCTAATAACAATATAGGAAGACCACTATTGAAATCAGAGGAGTTTCCTCACTGTTTATGTTTCAGCTTGAATACCAACAGTACTGAGCTCTGAATAGAAATCGTCCATACTATTATTTAATTATATTTGAGAATCTTTTGCAAATATCCAAACTATCTCCTGATTTTTCTGTATATTGTATTTTACCCTAAATTACGCTGCCCATTGACAACTCAAGCTGTAAAAGAATATTGAGATATGTGATTGTTGATGTTTTTTCAGGTGATGGAGCTAACGATGTTAGTATGATACAGACAGCTGATATAGGTATAGGTATATCAGGTCAAGAAGGTATGCAAGCTGTCATGGCATCAGACTTCGCTATTGCTCAGTTCCGTTTCCTTTTAAGACTATTGTTAGTACATGGTCACTGGAATTATTTTCGTCTTTCAAATTTTGCAGCCTTCATGTTTTATAAAAGTCTGGTAAGTTAAATTTATTGAAAAGTATAAATTCAATTTTTATTATAGTATGTTTATTTTTATGATTTTTATGATTTTTCTGTCTAGTCATTAGGGTGGGACAAAAAAACGAGGTCTAGAATTGTAATTAGATAAGCAAATTAAACCTAATGATATACAGGAATCAATCGATCATGCGCAGAACATGGAGTGTGTAGAATATACTGGTATCTGTTTTAATCAATTACAAATTACCTATGAATACAATACATAAACTATAACACATAAACTATAACTTATGGGAAAACAGCTACTTCTTTGTGTCGACACTTCGAAGAGTATTCTCTCAACTAATACAGTAATACAAAAATTATGAGGCCAATTTATACAGTAAATTATATCAACAATTTATACAGTAAATTATATCAACAATTTATACAGTAAATTATATCAACAATTTATACAGTAAATTATATCAACGATTCATGAGAGAATACCCTTCGAAACGTCGCTCAAATAAAGAAGTAGCTGTTTTTCCATAAGTATGTGTTATAGTTTATTGCCCTATCCAGTTACTAAATGCCTCTTAAAGATTACTATGAATGTTTATTGTTTTTCAGATTACTGTGTTTATCCTGTTTTGGTTTCAAATCTTTAGTGGTTTTAGTGGCTCACTGATGATAGACAGTTTATATTTGATGTTACAACATATAATATTTACATCCTTCCCTCCTTTTATAAATGGTGTATTTGATAAAGATACATCAGCTGAACAATTATTAGATAAACCACATTTATATAAAGCAGGTCAGAATAGCAAGGTAAGCACATTTATATATATATATAAACAGGTCAGAATAGCAAGGTAAGGACATATATAAGCTCTTGTAAATGTTCTACTGTCTAAACTGGGGGGTGGATAGTTAGTGCGTGTACGTTGTATCAAAAGGTCTGTAATTGAGCCAACTGGCATGATTTCTATTCTACAGTTGTACGTCACCAGGAGTAGGGTCGCCTGTCCAACCTTGTGGGTTTTCTCTGGGTCCTTAGGTTTCCTCCCACTGCTAAAGACCCCTGCGCACAAGCGAATTATTGAAATTAAATTAAACCATATTTTAGTCCCCATATGACCTAGTTTATGTCGAGTGGATGTTATAATATTATTGTTGTAGTTTGATATGAAATTTGTATATTTAACAGTTATATACAAAATGGACATTTGGTGTTGTTTTTCTGGATTCATTATATCAAAGTATGGTCATTTATTTCATCAACCATTATGTAAGTATATAGGTTTTCCTAATGGGTTATTTGTGCTTGTAGATGTTTCCAAATTTTTTTTTTGTCCCCCGCCTTTCGAAGAAAGCAGGGGACTATTAAAATGGGTTCGTCCGTCTGTCTGTCCGTCCGTCCGTCCGTCCGTCCGTCCGTCCGTCCGTCCGTCTGTCTGTCCGTCTGTCTGTCCGTCACACTTTTTGGGACACAATAACTCTCTTCCTAATTGAGCTAGAATGTTCAAACTTGGTGTATGTGTTTATTAGGTCAATGCCTTGATGGAGTTCGAAGATGAGCATTTTCCGCTTAGGGTAAGCAATTTGATTGGTTGATGCTTTGGGACACGATAACTCTCTTCCTTATTGGGCTAGAATGTTCAAACTTGGTGTATGTGTTGATTAGGTCAATGCCTTGATGGAGTTCGAAGATGAGCATTTTCCGCTTAGGGTAAGCAGAGATAAGCAATTTGATTGGTTGATGCTTTGGGACACGATAACTTTTAATTGAGCTAGAATGTTCAAACTTGGTGTATGTGTTTATTAGGTCAATGCCTTGATGGAGTTCGAAGATGAGCATTTTCCGCTTAGGGTAAGCAGAGATAAGCAATTTGATTGGTTGATACTTTGGAGCACGATAACTCTCTTCCTAATTGAGCTAGAATGTTCAAACTTGGTGTATGTGTTGATTAGGTCAATGCCTTGATGGAGTTCGAAGATGAGCATTTTCCGCTTAGGGTAAGCAGAGATAAGCAATTTGATTGGTTGATGCTTTGGGACACGATAACTTTAGTTCTAATTAAGTGAGATTGATGAAACTTGGTGTATAGTTTCATTACAGTAATACCTTGACTAAGTTTGATAATGAGCATTTTCTGCTCAGGGTAAGCAGAGCGATACGCAATTTGATTGGTCGAGACTTTGGAAAACAATAACTCTCCTACTTTGATTGTCCCCCGCCTTTCGAAGAAAGCAGGGAACTATTAAAATGGGTTCGTCCGTCTGTCTGTTTGTCTGTCTGTCCGTTCCGCTTATTTGTGATAAATTTATATGTGTCCTCTAATTATTTTCCTATTTCGGCGGGGGACATCAGCCTCACTGTTGGCTTGTTTTTTTTTTAATATCTCCATTTTATACCTATAATGGTACCCAAAATCAACTTTTCCTATTAGTAAAGGCACTTCTAATATTACAAGGGGCATTATGTGAGATTAGATAAAGAGTTGATAGTTCGCGCTATAATAGTTAAAAGATAACGCAAATAAGATATGCTGAAAATTTCAGTCAAATTGCTCCACTCTGAACTGGGATATTAGCTTTTGATTTTTAGGCTTGCCGCGATCATCATTACTAAAGTTGGTACAATAAAAAACAAAGTCTCGATTATCCATTTTTACGTTTAATTATTTTTCAAAAAATGTATTCAAGTCCGCTAAATATCACAGGCTAGCGATGGCATCGAGTGTTGATTATGGTCTGGATAAGTTAATTAATGTCTAATTAATAATTTAGATAACATTTGAGGCCTAAAGAAAGACCTGCAATAGGCAGATTTAGCTCTTGCATAATGTATGCTTAATTATAATTTTTGTTTATTAATGTTTTTCAGTCATACGCAAACTATAGTGTTGGTATATGGGAGTTTGGTACTACAATATGTGTTTGTATGATATTAATTATTTTACTACAGATTGGTCTAGAAACTAATTCATGGGTAAATATTATCTTTATTCCAGATATATTTCAATGAATAAAACCCATTAATTCCGTATTTAGGGCTCTTGGAACCCTTTATTCTGTTCTAAATGTGGCATTCGATATTCATGATAAATAGACAGCGACTAACGAACAGTAAATACAAGTTTAAAATGTGACAAACAAGCAGTCTTAAAATAGATTCTAGTTGCATGGGGTAGATTTTGTGAGATTGAAAAAAAAAATAAACCTGTTGATAGATAGATTAGTTTGAATATGTTTTTAGTCCAAACATATCAAATCACACAATTTGTGTTTTCTTTGTGATCGAAATTACAACTACAGGTAAGGTCGTTTATACAGCTTTATTATTAGAACCGCTTGGCATCAATGTTCCTCGTTCTTAATAAAGTGTATATAGCTGCTCTGACAGATTGGGTGAGCTCTAATAAATTTCGCTCAACACCCTCTTTTATAACCCCTAATTCCTTTACGTCATAGACTGACCTTGGTATTAATTTCCTTCCCAAATATGGAATAAACATCCCCCATGCATAAAATATGATAAAAATTCAGTCCTATAACGATTCACACTTCTAAACACAAAAATATGTTCGGCCGTGTATCTGTTATCACTCGTCACTTTAATCCGTTATATAATTGGATAACTCATGTTTTGCTTTTGCTTTCATCACTTCTGTTTCTTAAATTTTCATTAAGCATCTATTGTAGCAATGATCTCTGTGTTAACATTATTTCTGGAACGTGTTTAAACAGTTCTATCACATATGTGATAATGACAGACACCAATATTAGAGACTTTTGGCAAGCGTAATTTCCTGGTCCGTATCGCGTATCCGTATGGATTTTGCGTGTGACGTCATCAATGTCTGTGTATTTCTCATACGTGATACGGCACACGGATACGGCAGCACGTATGGAACGGCTTTCATACGGAAATGGTCCGTATAACACTAGTCGTCTTTTTACCGTCGTTTTTGCTACTTTTAGAAGCTGAAATGTTGCATCATTGCGTTTTTATGAATCTATGTGTATCCTAGAACATGAAGGTGTATATTTGATGTGCTTTTAACAGTGATAACGACTGCAATTTAATCATTATTTTTGATGGGTTGTTCTCGGAATTTTCATATTTTTCCCGCCTGTCTGCATACTGGTTGATCTACGGGCTAAACTTTCTGAAATGATACATTAGTGAAACCAAAAATTTCTAAAATCTGCCAAAACTCTTAAACTACATTGACGCAACGTATCACGTATACGATACGGATACGGGATACGGATGGGAAAAATCCGCTTGCCAAAAGTCTCTATTGTCCTTTAAGCTCTTAACCAAGATTAGTCATTACAATTTGTTATTTATCAGGTAAATATTATCTATAATGTTGTTTTCTAGGTATGGTTACAGTGGTTATTTTTGATACTAAGTTTTATGGTATTTTGGATGTTTGCCATCGTTTCTAATGCCATCTTTTTCACGTTTGATCCTCCTTCTAATCCATATTGGGTAATGGAGAATACCATATCTCAGGCTATACATTCTTGTATTGCAATCTTTGTTTGTGTTCTAGCTTTACTGCCAAGGTAAGTAGTAATAGATATATATTAGTTTTACATCTTTTTAATCCTTGCATATGTTAATATGGTCATTTATATGATAAGGTCTGTCATTGAGTCAACTGGCGTGGCTACGATTCCCCGGTTGTAAGTGACAAGGAATAGGGTCGCCTGTCCAACCTCATGGGTTTTCTCTGGGTCCTCCGGTTTCCTCCCACTGCTAAAGACTCCTACGCACAAAAAATTAAACCATATGCTATGCTAGTCCCGACATGACCTGGTTTGTGTCGAGTTACGTTAAACCCCATTTCTCTTTTTAAACATTTCAGAGTTATAATAAAATCCATCCAATTTACCTTTTTTCCTACGGACATTGATGTCGTTAAACAGCAAACTCGAGAAACCATGACAACAGAGGAAACAGAAGAAAATGGTGGTTGTGAAGCTACAGGCCATGATAATGTTACTGCACAGTCAATGCAACCTTATGACGCAAGCGTAGATAATACCGAAACAAAAGTGAATGGAATGAATGGTCCAAATAGGGATAACACAACACGCAGAAGGGACCAATCAGAATCTGTTACTGCAAAGTGTTAGTGTTTACCTACAACAAGTTTACATCAAATTACCTCACTACAGTGGTTAGAAAGTCTTCAAAATTCTAGTGTTCATTTTTTGTTTTTTTAAAATTGTATACGTATTATAAATCCAGATTTAAGTTGATAAAGGTTATTACATTCAGCATTGATAGTTTGAATGTGAAATTTATTTTTTAAAGAATCAGTTATTTTTAAAGCTATTTGAAAAAAGTATTTATTTGTATAGATAATCATTGAAGCACATACTAGGCATAATTATCAGAAGATATTGAACATATTGCTTTTATTATCTCAAATCCTGACCCACTCATTGGAATAATCATTGAAGCACATGTTAAATGAAGGCTAACTATAATTATATATTCTTTATTAGCTATCACACGTACGTCTGCCTTTCATGGTTACATACATAAAAGTCATGATCTACAGATACACAAGGACCGAGGCGTCCTCTCACTGCACGTGTGCTATGCGAATCTAATTAATATTCATGAGTCTGACAGCACATACTGGGCATAATTATCTAAAGATACTGAATTAATTTTCTGCATATCTCAACGTTTCTATTATCTCAAATCCTGACCAACTTAAAACCATCGGGACAATCCTCTTGTCTTAATAATAATAATATGTCCATTTATATAGCAACAAATCCACAACATCATGCTCATGGCACATACAACTATACAAAAGTTTTTTTTGTTGTCAATTTCTGTAGTGAATTTTAAAAAGACGAGTCTTTAATCGAGATTTGAAGATTGAAAAAGAAGTCACAAAATGGAGTTCAACTTGGAGTGACTTCCAATTTGACTTAAAAGATCCTGACCAATATAATATATTCAGGTCATGTGATAATTATATTGTGGGTGGTCTTTTGGTAATTTAAATCCTATATTTATAGGCTGGAATCTCGTGAAGATTATATTGGACTCCGTGGATGATTTAGTTAAAATCTCAATATGATTATATTCGACTCCGGGTATAATTTAGTTAAAATCTCAATATGATTATTTTTGACTCCGAAGATGATTTAGTTAAAATCTCAATGTCATTCGTCTGTATATTACTTACTGGTACAATGAATGTTTCAAATGATTAAACCCTAGGTTGTAAATATATTTATAATGTATTTTATATATACATGTATTTTGTATTAACTTATCATTTTAATTTATTGTAAATGTATTCATGTTAATTGTCCTCTGCCTTTCGAAGAAACCTGGTGGACTGTTGAAATGGGTTGGTCTGACTGTTCTTCCATCACACTTTTTGGGACACAATAACTCCTGTAATCGATCACAAATTTTTAAATTTGGTGAAGTTGTTCATTGACTGAGTATGATGATGAGCAGATTCTACCTTGGCTAACCAATCTGATTAAAACACAGATCGTATTTCGTTTCATTTTTTATAGTTCAAATTTTTGTTTTACTTAACAACACTAGGATCTGGAAGAGTTGTTATATAACAGACGTTCTAGTTGATGTGAGGAATTAGCCAATGAAACGGTCTATTACGGCGAGTTATTGGCGTGCTCTGCACGGAACTGTGGCAGGGCTCAAAATTCGCTAACCTGTATCTAAGGCCATTTTTCAAAAAATGGCCTCAGACAGTGAAGCCTCTCTAAGGCCATTTTGTTCAACACCAAGGCCATTTTTTCAATTTAGAAATTATCGAGGGCCATTTTTGCTGGACATTTTAAAAATAAATAGTCTTTCATTTTTCATATTCATTTAATAAAACGTGGACAGGTTAATCATGACAAACTGAAATAGATGTTTATAAATATATTTAGTCCTTGGCAAACACTGAAATTAAAAGCTTATCTAAGTCTAGATATTTTTTGTCTCAAACTTCTAAATTACTGTATTACATTATGCGTTTAACCTCCTACAATTATTTATTTTTTTTAAAGCACGACTGTTTGCAGATGCCTGTAAATAAAATAGTCTATAATAACAAAAGTCATCATTATTCAGACTGAGAAGAGAGAATCATATCATCAAAATTATCTCCATCACTGTCCTCAATTTCACTTTCTATTACTAGCTCTGATTATCAAGCACTGTCTTGAACCGTAGCCTTGTTTATCACAAAAGACTTGACTAACGTCTGCTTGGTCTGCTTATCGTAGTCTTGTATAATAAGACTGTTACGTGTTACAGGCATCTGTGGAGGGGGTAAACTACGGACAGCAGTGCATAAGAAAAAATTAATCGTGGGAGGTTTTTAGATCAGCCAAGTTTTACCGGAAAATGCATATCATATGTGAACTTTTTCATTTATTTTGGCTTCCGATATAGGTGCCATCGACTGCCATTTAGGGTAATTCTACGGCCAATGGCTCTAGTATTTTTATTGATTTTTTTCCGCAATTTACGACAGCAATTTTTGGCCCTCGATGTAAAAGCTATCGAAGGCCATTGCTAGGCTTACGACAGCAATGGCCCCGATGGCTCTCGTGAATTTTGAGCCCTGTGTGGGTAAACCACTAGAAACATCAACGCTGATTGATTAATCAAATGTTTGACGTCATAGGGTAAAAAGCCGCTCGTATGACCCCTGGCGCGACTTCCCAGTACAGCTGGTCAGATCTTCATGTAATAGAAACCATTGAAAGTATAAAAAAAACGAAACGAAATATAGATCTGTATTTTAACCAGATTGTTGGCTAAGCATATGTAAGCAATTTCACTGGTCGTTACTTTGGGACACAATATTCAAACATAGTGTAGATGTTCCTTAGGTGAATTTCTTCGTCGTTGAGACGAAAAACCGAGTTGGAATTCGATAGTAGGCCATAGTGCCGTTGCCGGGGCAAAATTTCCCTCATAGCACACTGGCGTGAGCCCGTCTTCATTAACCCAGTCGGAGCAGAACAGAAGGACATTAAACCCCCATTTGATTTCATTTCATTTCATACATGAATGTCTTGACTTAGTTCAGTGATGACTATTTTAAACATAGTTAAATTCTGCTTTATATAAAGATAACTGCAAGTAATTAATGAGTGTCATCTATTTATTTTGGAATTGAGACAGGTGACATCCAACTATCAGACTCATTGATTCTTTTGCTGTGCTAGGTTTTGTGGATTTTTAGAATTTAGTGTGGTTCAAATAAGAAAATGAATTCATATTAATTAATAATACATATAGGAATTCACATACTGATTTTGTCTGGCAATAATGTCTTGTAGGACATGATACGCCACTCTTTGATAAACTTGTCTTTCTTTATATCAGTTTATATTTTACAAATAGTTTGTTATTATTCTATATGAATGAAAATATGAAGCTCACTTGTTTTTGTTGATTTATTGTAATCTGTATACATATATTATACACTTATTAGTTCTATCTTTTATATATATACCTTTAGATCATGTTAATTTTACATATTCTCTAGCAGTCATGATTCATAAACACCTTAGTTAATTTTCCTTCTTTTTATACGCCCAATTAGTTTCATGTGGACGTATATTGTCGTCACCCCTGTCTGTCTGTCCGTCCTTGTGTCTGTTCACATTTGTTTGTGGCCATTCTACAGGTTACAATTTTAATCTGATTTTGATTATGTAGGTTTGAAATGTAGGTTTATCTCCCAAAGATCTCCGCTCCTTTCAACCATAACTTCATGGATTATGGTCCCTGATTGTACGAAAAATCATGTTTTTAGCTTGTGGACACCTTAGATGTCACAAGTTTTATATCCGATTTTGATGAAACTTGAAATGTATGTTTATAAACAAAAGAAACAAAAGATCTCAGTTCCTTTCGATATTCGTGCATATTGGACCTTAACCTCCTGGATTATGGCCCCTGATTGTACAAAAAATCATGATTCTTGCTTGTGGTCCCTCTAAAGATCACAATTTTTATCCAATTTTGATGAAACTTAACATATAAATATAAAAATCCAGTCTTTAGCTAGTGGACCTTCTAGAGGTCACAATTTTTATCTGATTTTGAAAACAAGTTAAAATATATAAGTGTTACAATGTAATGACGGTTGAGTTCGAAAATCAGACCGAAACTGCCCGACAAAATGGCCACTCCTTGTATGCAAATAGTGTAAAAGTATGTAATACCAAGGTTGTGGACCCTCTAGAGGTCACAATTTTTATTCGATTTTGATGAAACTTAAAACATATGTTTATATCCCTGAGATTTTGATTCCTTTTGATAAATGTGCGTATTGGACCATAACTTCCTGGATTATGTCACCTGATTGTACGAAAAATCGCTTTAAATTTTTTAGCTTGTTTTCTGTCCATCTCTTGGACGTATCTTGCATGGCAACCACTTGTTGTATGTATCAGCATTTAAAATCAAAATTATATCCTTTGTTTATATATTGAATTAGAAAATAAATGTAGCTATTTTCTTTTAGAAAAAAAAATACATTTCAAAAACTTACATCAAACTAGGTTATTGAAGTAAATTAGCCAAAAGGAATAGAGATGTGGGGCCATGAGTAATATTAAAATACCAGTTTGTAAAGATGTATATACAGCTTTAATGTGATGACAAGTACAATATAATATTCCTGCCGAGCAAATAACCAAATACATTTAAGTTTCTCCACTATTAACTGCTTGAAAAAATGGATATTCCAAATTAGTTCTTACCAATAATTCAATAATTCAACACAGGGGAAAATATATTCCTCCCACTTAAAAACAAGACAAAAAGCAATTTTTTTAAAAAGTCCAATATTTATTTAAGCTAAACAAATAAGAAAGCTGAAAGGTGTTATTTAAATAGCTATTTACAAAATTAGAACAAAAAAAGTAGATTGATTAATGTCCTGGCTCTGATGTTAGTGGATACAAAATAACAAGTCTTTGGCCGATGTTAGTGGATACAAATTTAATTAAATTTTTCTGGGGTTTTATGATGGGGTGGGGGGGATTCAATAGACACTATTGTAGATGTAAATTTGTACGATTCATAACTTTTGAACCCAAATGTTTTTGTAATAAGATTACTACTTTTAGATTTAAATTAAAACCCTTATTGTCTTGTAGGCTTTTTAAATTCAAATTTTTCTCTTTTCAACATTTTGTATTTTTTCAATTTGGACAAAGAAGAAATTAGCAATAAGGAAAAGAAATATAAGTTCATGTTTTAATAATGAAATTGGTGTCCGAGCAAAATTTCCCTCATAGCACACTGTATCGCGTATGCCCGTCTACATTAGCCCAGTTCGGAGCCGAACAGTAGGATGTTAAACCCCATTTCATTTCATTTTATTTCTGATAATGAAATTATTCAGTTTTGTCCATCATGTAAGCATAATCAAACTGCTGTACTATATTTTAAAAATGCATTATTTAAGATTTAAATAAAAGATAATGAAAACTTCAGTCAAACTATGTATCATATATTCTGAGCAAAGTTATGAATGTCTAAAGTTTTTACAAGAAACAGCGTAAAATATTATTGATTGTCAAGTATCATTGCTACGATGCTGCCGTTCGGGCAAAATTTCGCCCATAATACACTGCATGGCTTATGCCCATTTTCATTAGGCCAGTCGGATGTTAAACCCCGTTCCATTTAGTATACTGGACCATCTCGGTGAAGACTTATCAGGATTATCTCATTCAATGTCATTTTACTTATATTTTTGTAAATTTGGTACACTGAATATTTCTCATTTATTTTTTGTCATATTGTATTTATAGTGCTAAAATTTATATTATATAGAACTTTATACATTGCATTTTTTTTTTATACACCCAGTTGTGATTTAAATATACATGTTCTTGTAAAAATTCTTCCAGAATTTTTTAATTGTAGATCAATGACTTACCTGATTGTACAAACTTGTTTTATATGTGGTACTTGACAAAGTTCTTGGGGTTTAAAGGCTGGCTACCCAGCTGGAAGTTTTCTTGTAAAGTAACACAGGAGAACCCCTTATTTTATTGTGTCATAAATCCACTTACAGAGAGAAATGGGGTTTAACATCCACTCAACACAAACTAGGTCATTTTGGGACTAACATGGTTCAATTTTATTTCAATAATTCGCTTGCGCGTAGTGCTCTTTGGCAGTAGGAGAAAACCGGAGGACCCGGAGAAAACCCACGAAGTTGGACAGGCAACCCTACTCCTTGTCACATACAACCAGGAACCCCACTCCACTTTGTTTGATCACAAGGTCTCTATAAACTTATTTGGTACGGTTGGGTTGAACTGGTTTTATGCCTGGGGGGATTGGATGGCAAATGGTCAGCATGTGCACGTTGTACCATAAGGTCTGCCATTGAGTCAAATGGCATTGTTTCGATTCCCTGGTTGTACATGACATTCGAGGAGTAGGGTCGTCTGTCCAACCTTGTTGGTTTTCTCTGGGTCCTTTGGTTTCATCCCACTGCTAAAGACACCTACGCGCAAGCGAATTATTGAAATAAAATGGAACCATGTTAGTCCCAAAATGACCTAGTTGTGTCGAGTGGACGTTAAACTCCATTTTTCCCGCTTTCTTTATGCTGGGAGCAGACTGGCCCCAGTCAGTGTTTCAAATTTCTTTTTAAAAGGGGCTGAACTATTTCCAAGATACAAGTACTACTGTATAAAACTGGCATAGTTTTAACTTTGTAATAAATTGTCTCACAAATCTTCTCCCTAGTATTTCTCTTTGTCTTGTAGTAATTTTTATGTTATACTGTTTATTTGTATTATAAAGCTACTGTTTCAATAAAATATCTTGTTAAATTCTGCCTTGCTCACTGATTCCTATAGTGTTAGAAGGCAGTGTATTTGAGAATTTAGATGGTAATGTACAAGGCAGGGTAAAATTATTGTACTCTCATTCGTTCTTTGCTGGAGTTTTACGTTCCCTGCTCTCAATATATTCATGTGCTAAGTAGTTGGTACTGCTGAAGGTTTACTTTCCTTAATCATTATAAAATCACATCTGTACTGCAGTATGCATTAAAAATTTCAAACTAAAATGAAATGGGGTTTAACGTCGTACTGTTCTGCTCCGAACAGGGCTAATGAAGACAGCATACGCCATACAGTTTGCTAGGAGGGAAATTTTGCCCGGACAGCAGCACTACAGCCTACTCTTACATCGAATTCTAACTATCAAGGGATCTTTAACATGCACACCCAAATATGTACAAGGGACCTTGTTTTTTCGTCCCATCCGAATGACTAGACAGCTGTCCTTGTCAGGCCTTCAGTCCTGCATCACTGACAAGGGGAAACTAACAGTATTAATGATAGTTGTTGAAATTTTCAAGACACTAAAACCTTGGCAGTCTAAACTTCTAATGGAGTTCTGACACATACTGATACTACCAAATTACAATGCTAAACCAGGCTCTTCATTTTCCAGGTTTATCTTGTTGAGAGATGGGGGTTTAACGTCCACCGGACACAAACTAGGTCATTTCGGGACTAACATATGGTTCAATTTTATTTCAATAATTCGCTTACGTGTAGGGGTCTTTAGCAGTGGGAGGACCCAGAGAAAACCCACAAGGTTGTACAGGTGACCCTACTCCTTGTCACGTACAACCAGGAAATCAAAACCACGCCAGTTGACTCAATGACAGACCTTATTATACAATGAGCACACTAACCATTCCGCCATCCAAACCCCTACAGATTTGGTACAAAATAAAACGTCTGTAGGTTTAAAGCATCATTTATTGAAAAATTGGGAGTAATCATACTCTTTAAAAACGAGTAAGGTATGTAATAATGTGATAATTGTCCGTCACCAACAAAATCAGTGATAGCAAATAATCCAATTGTAATTCTGGAATAAAACAAACATGGTTCTAATGAAATCTACATATAAATTATTAAGGCACAAAACAGCAGACACATTATTATTATTACTATACAAAACTGATCATATATATTTAAATATATGGAGATATATAAACAAACTGATTAAAATACAGATCTATATTTCGTTTCGTTTTTTATACATTTGATGGTCTACAGTACATGAAGATCTGACCGGTTGTTGCGATAGGTCACAAAAGAGGTCATATGAGCGGCAAGTGAGCCTATGACGTCAGACATTTGATTAACCAATCAGCATTAGTGTTACTAGTGGATTACCCACAGTTCCATGCAAAACAGGCCTAAACCTTGCCGTAACAGATCGTTTCATTGGCTAATACCTCTCACTATTCAGAACACGTTAATGATAACAAGTCTTCCAGATCCTAGTGTAGTAAATACAAGTAAAACGAAATTCTGAACTATAAAAACGAAACCAAAAAGGATCTATGTTTTAGTGAGATTGATATGTAAATGGCTAGAAATAGTCAATATCAAAGCATAAATAGTAAAAAGAAAGTAGAAAATATACACGTGTTCTGTCTTAATGATGTATGTTTTACATTATTGAAAAGGTTGAGCCACAAATAAAAGATAAACTGTAAAGATTGACAAAGGATTGGCTTTAAGAAAACAGACAGAATATTTAAATCAATATTTGTAAAAGTTACGACCTATATAGATACTTCACATTCTAAAAGCTGTTTCAATTTTAAAATTTATAGCCTATTATTCATGAACTCGTGGTATGATCTACATTTATTGTCAAAGGTATTGAATATTACAAATATGTCATTTCTCAAATGTTCCCAAAATATTGATTATGCAGTACTGATATCCAATAAAAAGTCAATTTTTTAGTCAAATAGAAGTAATATTGATGAAATAGTCAATGTTACCAATATTTTCCCTGACAGGTTCACCTTTTGAACTTCTATTTAAAACCTACAGAACTCATTAAACTACATGTATATAAATGTTTATCTCAATGAAATGTGTTTTTACAAATATAATAATAATGTGTTGCATTCAAATATTAATAGCAAATATTTTTTTTAATTTAAAATCTTTAAGTGGAACTATATCTAATTCCTTTCGACTAGAAAATTGCATTTATTTGTTTCAAAACTTCAAAGGCAAAACTTTTAAGATTATTTGACAAGTTAATTTACTGGGACCAGCACATCCCAAATTAAAAAAAAAATAGCCAACAGTGAGGTCATCTTCTCCACCTAAATGCCAAAATAGATGACATATTTTTCATTGCCCATTTTTTTTTTTTCCTAGCGCATCAAGCACCAAATCTCCTTGTTTATACTTACCTTAGAAGAAAATTAACGTGACCAAACTAGAATCAACAGTGGCAGAAATGGGGTTCAACGTCCACTCGACACAAACTAGGTCATTTCGAGACTCAATTATGGTTCAATTTTATTTCAATAATTGACTTGCGCTTAGGGGTCTTTATCAGTGGGGGGATGAAACGAGAGAAAATCCAGAACGTTGGACAGGCAACCCTATTCCTTGCCTCGTACAACTGAGAAATCGAAACCACGCCAGTTGACTCAATAACAAGATCTTATGATACAATGCAAACCATTCGACCATCCAACCCCCTCAACTAGAATCAAAGTTATGTCACAAAGCTTCGACAAATCAAAACATCAAACTCAGTGAACATTCACCGTATGAACATCTGCACCAAGTTTGAACATTCTACCTCAATTGAAAAGTAGACTTATTGTGTCACAAATAGTTTGACAGACAGACGGACCTACAAAAACGTTTTAATAGTCCTTTAAAAGGTGGGAGACAAATCAAAACTTTCTAAACAAGGCATACATATTATTTAACCATATCAAAACTATAACATGTGAAAGACAAATTTAACACTTCTTTTAAATGTCAATAGAGAAACGAGCTCTTAAAGCATCTTAACATATCAAAACTAATTTTATGTACAAATATTTGTAAGTTAACATTTCAATACAGGGGTAACCCAGAGAAGAAAAAAAAATCTCAACTGTGAAAAATCATTATTTGTCAAAAGTATTCTGATAAATGTTGGGGGAAAAAAAATATCAAAATTCTAGGAAATAGACAGGAATTATTTACAAATCAAAATCTTCAATTACATCATAAGTTGAGTATGTAAAAAAACCAAAACATCTGAAAATATGAATATTTCAATAAATATTTCAATAAAAGATCAAAATGAGTACAAATATTAGAGTTCAATTCCCAAAGGGAAATCTAGTCATACAAATTACTGATAAAACATGAAAATTGTTCAACCTAGTTTCTATGTTAGTTAGGCCTACTTGATTTCTGAGCTTAGGTGTGCAAGTTATTTATTAACAGAAAAAATTTCAAAAATGTACATAATCTATATTTTAATTACAGATTTTGAATACAAAGCTAAACTAAAATCTCGTCAAGAGATTTGACAAATTAAATATAGACTTCTAAATATTAAGATAACTAAATGCAAAATGTTACATAAAGAAATCCAAGAAAAGTTTGAGTCCAAATTGTTCAATCAATATGTGTATACATCAAAATTATAATAATAAAAATAAATAAGACTGCATGAAATAAAATGCCCGAAACTATCATTATAAACAAACTATAAATAATCTTAAAGAAAATAACAGTAATAAAATATTATCATAAACTTTTAAATGTTTGAACAGTTACAACAATTAAACATGATAAATATTTTGAACAATTAAAACAATGAAACATTAAATGTTGCAAGTAGATGAAATTAAAATTTACAAAAAAATAAGCAATTCCTAATTAATACACTGGGAGGAAATAATTTGATTTGGCAAAACATTGTAACAATGACAACTAATACAAAATTTTCTGTCTTCAAAAACTTGAGAATATTTAAAAAAAAAAAATTTTTTTTACCAGATTTTAAAAATTTGATATTCCCCTTTACTACTGAAAAAATATTAGACCTAATAATTTAGGAATACATATCAGATAATTTTATTTGTTTTTTGTTTTTTTGTTATCGACTTGGTACAACAAACAAAAGATACTCATCATGCCCCAGGTCACACTATTATAAGCATCAATACAGGTCTAATAAAACATTTAGCTTACGGGTGATTTGGATCATTTCAAATGTCCACCATAAGTATATATATTGTGATATATCGTGAATCTGATAAAAAAAAAAAAAAAAAAAATCAACTTTCCTTTCAATTAACAAGTAACCGACAGTGTCTATTGATAAGGTTGTAATTCTCAGGGTTTTTGTTCACTCCTGCTATCATTAAATAAACAAATGACAGATTAATACTGTCAGTTATTTCTCAAGATAAATTATTTTGTCAGTATCATTGGGTGCATATTAGGAAAAAAAAAATTGCTTATATCTTTGTAAAATCTAAAAACGTAATGATAAATTATGATCTAAAATGAATGTATGAACAACAAGCGAAACAAAATGTGTTAACACATACTAAATACTATTTAATAAATACAGAGTATTTTTGAAACTAGTAATATATCTTAACCTATGCATCATGTATTGATAACATTAAAATATCCAAATAGTTCAGTATATCATAAATTATCAAACAGATAAACTTTTAAAAGGCTTTAACGTTTCTATTTTTATATACACATTATTAAACAGCTGTACCACCTACAACAATATGGATTTCTAAATTTAATTTTAATTGACAAATGTTAGCCTACCTTGTTTAAAATATAAAGCAGTCAATATTTATACACGTTTCTATTAATATCTATTATGTATGAAGAACACAAACTTACTACTCAAGAATTAAATTCTTAAAAACAAATATCTTAATATAACAAACTGGTATATAGATATACAACTCAATGACCATTGAATACCGCTCAAGAGAGTGTATCCCTGCGTAAGTATTGTCTCGAAATACAAGAAGAAATATTTAGTTCACAATTCAGACTGCTACAACTGATCTTAAATAATGTTACTCACAAAAAGTAACGATTAGCACTTGTAATAAAATTAGGAAGACAAGACACCTCTTTAGCACAAACACAAAGGGTAAAAGATAGAATTATTACTGTGCTGTTGCCGAACATGTAACATAAGGTGGCACTGGTTGCATAGGTTGATATGTCTGTACAGGTGGAGCTGTATAGGGGGAATTCATCACATATATTACCTGCCCCTGACCGTTACCTGGTGGAGTAGGGGTTGTAGGTGGTAAAGTGCTGTAGCCTGAAGATGTAGAAGAATATACATAATAGCAAGTACCACCACCACTATTAGAGTTAAGATAGTTAGAAGAAGCTCCTACATTATTAGATACTGGTGGTTCAGTAAGGGTTTGTGATGACACCTGTACCTTAGAATAATTTGTGACCTGGGGAGGAGCAGGAGGAGGGGGACCATGTACCATGGCAGATTGTGCTCCTCCCATAACATAAGGTGGAGGAGGGGGAAAACATGCATTAGGTATTGGAGTAATGTTAGGTTGAATAGCATGATTAGAACCAACACCAGTCAGATTATTATTCACATTCGTGCAATTCATCGAAGGTGGCATGCAATTTTGCATTGGAACAAAACAACGGGCATTTGCATTTAGTTCCGTTTCCTGATCATAAGCAATGTTTTCTGAATGTGTTTGAATGTAAATAGGCTGCCCTTCACATCGAGCCTTAGCTGCACTGGTTTCAGCCAACAGCATTTGAAAACGTGGTGGAATTTCCTTGATTGGTTTAACAAGTTTTAAATTGCCATACATGTAATACTTTCTTTTTCCTTTAACAACTTTGCCCGTATCTTGTGAATCTATTGTATAGGTTAGTGGTTCCTCAGCACCAGAGGTGGTACTATCTAGACCACTGTCACTACCTAATGAATCGAGTTTATCGGGACTGGCTAATCCACTATTGTCACTATTTGATATGGCATCTGTTTCTATATCCTTACTCTCATTATGAACATCTCTATCACTATTAACACTATTATCTTTAACAGAAACTGTAACATTTTTATGATGATTATTTTGGTTTTGCGTGCAACATGCATTGGTTTTATCACTGGTACGGGACTGACCGTGTTCCATTGGAGCCGACATTATCATGTGACATTGGTTTTCTGCTGGTACTACTGCTGGAGCATATGATATGGTGGTTGGAGGTGGCATCACTGTGGACATCATTCTACAAGACTGTAAGATAAAAATAAAGATTTAAAACTTGCTGAAGGTTATAACAAGAGGTGAACACAGCATTGCCAAGTAAAAACATTCAGTATGTTATAATGTAAATTAAAGTAATAGAATTTAAGGAACAATGGGGTCAAATAATTGATCCAATTTTCTCAATAGAGTTCCTTCCTATAACTTGCTGAACTATTTCTTGATCAAAACAATAACAATTTGGGCCTGTAATGTATTTTATAATGTCTCTGTGATAAAGGCTATCAAATGACCGGGCAAGTTTCAGTGACATGGGCAATGAACTTGACAAACAAATGACAAACAGCGCTGAATTTCAAAGGTATCAAAACAAAAAAAGAAAAGAAACAAAAATATTCCGACATGAAAAAACTGGTTAAACACATTTCAAATAATTATAATTTTAACACACAGATCATTGCTACCATAGATGTGTAACAAAAGATTTGAAGAAATGGGAAGTAATGCAAAAAATGTAAAACAGTGGATTTTTATCTCACTGATTATTCCGTTCATGAGGAAAAGTTATGAGAATGTGAGATGTTATCTGACAATTCAAAAAAATAATTGAATGTCACTAGATAAGAGAAAAATGAGGAAAGTAGAAAAGGCCTGTACATTCCCTTGTTTTTTATTCATACTGTACTTAATAAAAACATGGTAATGTATGACTTTTTTTAATCGGATAAAATTTTTGACCCTTACAGAGATCACAAGCTAAAAATGTGATTTTTCATACAATCTGGGATCCATAATCCAGTTAGTTACGGTCCGATATGTGCCAATACTGATAGGAACAAAGATGTTTGGGTTACGATATAAACTTACATTTCAAGTTTCATCAAAATCGGATAAAAATTGAGAGCTATAGAGGGTCCACAACCTTGGCATTACATACTTTTAGACTATTTGTGTACAATTTTGTCAGACAGTTTCGGTTAGATTTTCACAAAATTCGACTCCACCATCATTAGGGTGTGACAGTGATTTATTTAAATGTTTTTTTAAAATTGAATACAAATTGGGTCAAACTCCAATAGCTCAAAACGCCATTTTTTAGGACAATCAGCAGCCATAATCCCGGAAGTTACGATCTGATAGGTGCAATTATCGAAAGGAAGAGAGATCTTGGTGATATAAACATGAATTGTGGCCTCTAGAGGGTCCTAGTGGATTGAATAGTTGCGCGATACAATTATTATTATTATTAATACATACCATACTTTTACACTATATCATTTCAGGACTAATAGTATATATTATTATTTTATGATCAGTAGTGGAATACCGCGTTTTATCAGTGAAATAAAAGTGTTATTCCACTGGCTAGAAGCGGACAAAGTAGTCCATGTTGTTTTTACCTAAAATGATTGTAAAATCATAAAATAAATAGAACATTTGTCGTTTTGTCGTGAATAACATATTTTATTTCATCTCTAAGCAAGAAAACGTTTATATTTTCACTCATGCTACGCATTCATGAAAATATAAGTTTTCTTGCTTCTTGATGAAATAAAATATGTTATTCACTCTAAAACGACAAATATCCTCTATATATCATTAATATACCATTTAACTAGAAGCTCTAGAAACCCGCAGAAATAGAAAGGCAACCCTACTTCTTGGTAGGGTGCTCCACTGTTAAATAAATAACTCCACATATTTCGACAATTATACCAGAATTTTTTACAAATATAACAAACCTTAACTTAATTTCTCACATTTATCATCACTAAATAAACAGTTCTATTGAATTTAACAAGTTATAACCATTTAACATCAATAAAAAACATTTAACATCAATAAAAAAAAAAGACTGAAATGTAAACGACAAGTGTCCATTACATCCAGGCATTTTTGGGAGTGAAATAGATTACGCTAAACCAGGCATTTTTGGGTGTGAAATAGATTACGCTAAACCAGTCTACCTTCTGTTCTCTGTCTGATTGACAGGCCAGGATAATCAAGACTATTTTCTACGAAACATTACAGAAAGCTACATCACTAAATCTAATTTATTAACTCTGGTAGGGTGACCCGTGCACTTTACAGAAAGTTGGTCTCGACACGGCTAAATGTGCACGCTTCAGTTGCGTGTCTCGAACTGATTTCTGACTACCCCGCACTCGCTTTGAGTTGATAAATAGCCATGGCACGTGCAATTCTCTACAAATATATCAACTATTACAGCCGTAAAAAATCTATTGTTGACGATTTTGAATAGCAGGAAAAGTTAGCTTCTTGGTTATTACAGCAGCTTTAGTAATTACGTTTGTTTTATTTTTTAAATTGCTTTATCATTAACTGTACCGTTAAGAGCGGCATCTTTTGGTTTAGTACAAATACTATCTCTGAATCACTTTCTTTAGCAGGAACATGATACTAGCAGTAGTTTCATTTTACTTTTACAAGTTTCTTAAAACAATTGTTGAGTTGTCTAAAGTGCTTATTTCTAAATTCAATTTCTTGTTCTAGCTTTCTGTTATGTTTCGTAAAAAAGTAGTCTTGATTATCCCGACCTGTCAATCAGACGTAGAATGGTCGATAGACTGGTTAAGCGAGACTAATTTCAAAACAAGGGCACGTAACCTATCTTTTACTCAAAAGTGTCTGGATGTTATGGACGCAACTTGGAACCAGTTTTCAGTCTATTATTTATAGATGATTAATGGTCATAGCTTATTAAGTACAACATGATCGTTTATTTAGTGACTATAATTGTGTGAAACTGATTTGAGGCTTGGCATATATATAAATATTGTGGCGTAATTATCGAGATATTTGGAGATATTTATTTATGGTGGGTCACCCTAACTCTGGAGTTAATTGTTTTGAGAACCTTATAAAAGCAAAAGGAAAATACTACTAGAATTATATTCTTGCCTAACCACGGAGCTTTGGAGATATTAATTGTACTAAACCAAAAGATGCCGCTTTTAACAGTATTGTTAATAAGAAAGCAAACTAAAAAAACAAAAGGAACATAATTTTCTAAAGATGATGTAACAACCAAAAAGCTAAATTCTGAGATGACAATATTATACTGAAGTGAAGATATATAAAATATGCGACAAGCTTTACAACATTGTGATCTGTAATAACTAAAATATAAAGCTATACAGAGCTGACACACGTGACTAGCACCAAAAGGGTTAATGACTAAAACGATTTTCAACAGAAATGATCCGATTCACAACAGCAGGATATAACACAGAACAAACAGTACATGAATATAGCCCAGATACGAATCCTCTCACTGTATATCCAAATAGAATGTTAGCTTGTAAAATACTCTATTCTATAGAATATTACCTCCTAAAATAGTGCTGTCACCATCAGTTTAAATACTTCCCACTTACCACAAAATAAATCTATGTTAGTCCAGTCAAAGTTAACAAAACATTAACTTAATTCAGTAAAGTGATTTATTTGTCATTATGCTTAATCAAATGTTATCAATTATTTTATTAAAAATTATTTACATAATAAACAAATCAAAAATTATATCAGTCATTATTATCAAGTTTATTGTACAATTTACATATTCACTGATCAATATACTGAGACAATGAAAATTTACCACTGATTTAACCTAGTACTATCAAAAACATAATGCAGCTGACAAGTAGTTTTTGGTATGACTGTTAGCTGCACATTACCCGACGCAAGAACATCAAAAACCCATGTCATAACAATTCTGCTTAACATTAAAACGTAGGCACAAGGGTTAAAAATTATAAGTTCGTAAAGCCTGTCCACCTCCAGCAGCCAGACATGCCATGCCATGCAATATTGCTACAGGGAAATGTGTGATGTTGTAAGACAATGTACCAGATTTCTAAAAGCGTTTGTTGTGTGTTGCAATCCATGCCTTGGCCAATACCTAGTAAATGCCGGTAGTTTGATGGAAATGAAATGAAGTTGAAAGTTTTTCTGTTCTGCTTCGACTGGGCTACAGAAAACTTGCATATGCCATACAGTGTGCAATGCCCATGCAGCAGCTCTATAACCTACTCTTATATCGAATTCCAACTACCAAGGGAACTTCTATGTGCACACCAGTGTACACATGGGTCCACGTTTTTGAAGACCATACAAACAACTAGACAGCTGTCCTTGTCAGGCCCAGATTAAAGTGTATCTCTCAAACAAGATTTATAATCAATGTTCCAAACCCCGATTGCCATGAACTTCAATATTCACCTACTTTATATTATAGTTTCTCTTACAACATACTTAAACTATATTTTAAATACCAACATTTGTTTTAAAAAGAATTCACTCTATAAAATTTGATTATTAATAGGTTACTGCATATACCATCACCATTAGTGAACACACGAATGAATATACAATTACTTAAATTCACATAAAACACAAAAATTTTGCAGAAGTCAATATTTTAAAATTCTTATTGGTGTCAAACATTCATTTACAATAATTCCAGTGTTATTTGTGTCAAACTTTCATTTAGAATAATTCAAGTATTATTGGTTTCCATTTAGAATAATTCAAGTATTATTGGAGTCCATTTAGAATAGTTCCAAGTATTACTGGTGTCCATTTAGAATAATTCAAGTATTACTGGTGTCCATTAACAATGATTATTCAAGAATGAAATGTAACCTGGCATATAAAAACAAGTGAGTATTTTTATTGATACACTGTACCATCTTGTCAAGTATGAACAATCAAAATAAAATCAAAACGCTTCAAGTCAAACACTATTATTTTAGATTTCCCATAGATATAACATTTTAATATATCTGTTTGTTTTTTTTTTTATAGTTGTTGTTGAAAATAGTTTTTTCTGTTATTCTATTTTATGTATATCATCTTTCTAATAAATATTCAGAATATCTATTGTCTAGATCAACAAGAACAAACATGTCATGAATTGAAAACAATTCGGACTAAAAACAATAATAAATATGTTTTATGTGTTAAGAATATATAAAAGCAACCATAAAACCAGATTAAGATTTGAATCATGCTGTTTTTAACATCTGATTACTTACCGATGTATTCATTGTTCTATTAAAGGAACTTACTGATGCGTTCTGTAAGAATTTTTAAATGTATAATAACAATTTGTGGTTAGTAACAATATGTGCATTCATGTGTACAATAAAATAAACAGTAACACTGTAAACTTTGCTCATTATATAATTATATCTTAAAAGTTATATTTAATTATAAATAACATTAAATCAACTTACTTCAACTCCAAAATTATAAAAATATCGTAATGTATTTACGTCTGAAAATAAACAAAAAAGCACTGTGAAACACTAGCATATGTTACAAACAAATAATATTTCATTAATTAAGTTTTGGTATAAACAGGTCACAATTCTATGGAATACATTGACTGTTTATTACTGAGGGACATCTCGACTAGGTTTCTCTAGTTTTTCATTGCTTGATAAAAAATTATAAAAAATTAGACTTTGCTGAACAGAGTACACAATTCTATGGAATACAATTACTGCTTATTACTGAGGGACATTTCCACTAGACTTCTCTAGTTATTATCAAGCATAGAATTGTGACCTGTATACTCCTTCCAGTTCAATTACTAAAGGCCATTGAAACAATTTAAGTTTTGGTAGTATACATTAGTTTTTTAAAGTTTTATAAAGTTAGTAATATTTCCGTCACCATTTCACTATATTAACTAGCTACGAATAGTTGTCAAGAAAATTCAGATGCCAATCTGTGCTTCCATTACAAATCTATAATGATGCATAAAATCTGTCCGATGTCTTGTCCATTTTAAATATTTTTTTTTTTAAATTCAGGTTTACTTCTTTTGATTTAGTTTTTAAATGGTTATCATTCATCTGTTGTGTCATTTCAATTAGAGATCTATACGATCAAATTTTAGTTTCGGCTTGTTTACTAATTTCTCAAAACAGGCTTTTTCTATAAACATTAAATTTCCAACACAGACGGAACGTTATCCCACAAAACAAATAAAAAATAGACGATTTTGGAGGTACCCAAAGTAGAGATGTCATATCATTTTAAGATTTTGCAGACGGTAATTTGATAGTGAATAATACCTTGAGGTAGATCTTTACCATACGGATCTTGTGACGGTCCAATATTAAAGTTGACGTGACCTATGTTTGGAGGATAGGGTACATTTATCACAGGCATAAAGTAAGTAGTTGGATTAGGAACAGGTAAACTTGGCGAGTTAGACATGATAGTTGGACCATTCATGGGAACTGAACAATAAGGATTCGACACATCAATATTGGTTGTATAGTCAACTGGCTGGGATGGCAGCTGCATGTTCTTAACACTACAAAATACCACATTTACAATTTTAATTTTTACTCCTGACAACACATGGTTTTGAAAAATTAATTAAGAACTCAATTTGTGAGCTGGTCAAATTAATTTACTGTATGTAAATATCGAGGATTATATTAATTTCATGGGGATCAATTTACATTTCATATTGAATACCAGTAAAAAAGCAACATCATTAAATGCATTTGGTATTTTCTTATTTAAGACAGAATTATGATCAAAGATTTCTTTTAATGCAGTTATAGATTGTAAAATACAAAGCCTGAAGACCCCCCACTGCCCCCCTGGAAATCTTTGGTTATATACCATACAATGTTACAATCTTGTTTTAGGATCAGATATTTATAATAATTTTTGTTATGTGGTAACAGAGGAGAAACTACTGTGTTAATAGCTTGTCTATCTGAATATTTCATAGTTTATTTCTAAGGAATAAAGAAAGACATAAGTGCACGATGCACTGCTTACCTGGTCTGTATCCAGTTTCGAGGTGCAGATCGTCTAGGAGAGTGATATGTATTTATATCCGAAGGTATGGGCATTCCAGCCTGGTGTAATAAAATGATACAATATTACAAAATAGTTGGATAAAATACAAACATAGATATATCTAAATATCAAAGAAACATATCCCTTGTCTCTTTATGATAATATCATTTCCTTCAGGCATAGATCTTCAATGACCGATTTCACACCATCTTTAACCAGTGTAATCTGTACATGGTGAGGTGAGAAAACATAATACAGCCAATATCTCTCTATCAACTTTATACCCCAAGGGAGTGGACCAACATTATCAAATAGATATATTCTTTATGTTTGTATAATATATTCTGCATGTTTTACATACACACACCCAATCAAACACAATTATCCTCCCTATATTCAAAGAACATTAATAGTCTATTTAATCATAATATTCATCATATATTATCAATTCAGCTTGACTTGTAATATTTATAAACCATTTAAAAGCTACTATAAACAAGTTTTTATTTAACATTAAAAGCAACTATAATGGGGTTTTTTTTAATTTGAAAGTGACTATAAATAATTTTTTTTGAATTTGAAAGTGACTATAAATAAGTTTTTATATAAATTTAAAAGTGATTATAAATAAGAAGTGACTATAAATAAGTTTTTATTTAAATCTTAAAGTGACTATGAATAAAGTTTTTATATAAATTTGAAAGTGACTAAATAAGTTTTTGTATTAATTTGAAAGTGCACAACTTGCTGGTGTACTGAAAACAGTTATATGACCCTAACATAATCTACATATAAGCCCACGAAACATAAAATTATGTTTGAAGACATATGTTGACTTCAAAAACATTCAAACAAAATGGTGGAAAGTTGACAGTACATATCATTTAAAGTAAATAATTGACAGCAATACAATGGGGAATGAATTGTGGTTCTTTGAACGTCGTTTTGTTAAAGTTTAGTTTAATTGAGCCTAGATTAAACTAGATCTATAAACTAACAACACACATCTCTTAAAGTAAATAAAAGAATTATCTTCAATTACAGATAAAGCGTGTTATAGTCATTAGATTAGAGAATGCTCCTGGCTATTGTAATACAGCAAGTTACCCAATATCATAAATTAACAATATTTATTATTATGGTAGCTAATATAGATTTAGAAAATGACTTGAAAATATGTTACACATGTGTATAAAATCTTAATGATATAGAACTAAAACTTTAATGAAACTTTTTAAACTATTGGAGATAATTAAGATGTATGAAGCTGTAATAATATTTGTTTTCATAAAATATCTGCATGATACTGTAACATGTTTTTCTTACGAGTATAGCGGACAAAAATAAAATTCATAATATTAACATTTGTTTTCTAGGCCTATTATATGCAATGACCAGATATATTCAATATACGATTTTATATTTAATTTATACTTATTAGGCCTTTTATATGCAATGACCAGGGCCCTCTAGATACTTGATTGGCTAAGCACTAAAATCAATCTAATATTATCCAAACAAATTACTATATTTTGGATTTTATCTTAGTTAAAATTTCTTGAAACAGGCCCCATATATATTCAATATACGATTTTATATTTAATCCTACTTATTAGGCCTTTAATATGCAATGACCAGATATATTTAATTAATATCATTTTATAAATATTAAAATATTTAATTTATCCTTATTAGGTTGATTAAAGTTGCAATTCAGCAAGTATAACTTTCGCTTGAGGTTTTTGAAACAATGATTTAGTTGTAAGTTGGAGAAATGACTTCAAATACCATCAAGCCTCCTCACCCACACTGCAAAACTCAAAATTTAGTCACCAGTCAGGGTGGGGGAGGGGGGAAATCAAAGATTATTAACCCATTACATCATGTTAGCTGTGGAAGTAGATTATTTGATGAGAGAAATGAGATATCAGTGTAATTATTGAAGTGAATATGTTCAACAATTATCACAAAATGATTAACATCTTTTAAGTACTGTGTTTAATGATAGGACATGACCCAACTCTTTCATACTTGCTAGTCTGAGATGACACACCCATCCTATTGAAATCTTTCACATCAGTGCACACACAATAGAAATCTTTATCAACACATATGATTGTATACATTATATTAACTCAAATGTCATATTTTATCACGATATTCACCTTCTTTCTTTTACACTTCTTATCAATATACGATACGTAACCTGAAAAAAAATATTAAAAAAATATAAACACTGTTAAATCACCTGTATAAATTTAACTTTACTTGTGGAACATCTTTACACATATCTTTTATAAAGAAAACTACAAAATTATCAACTAAAACTACAACATTATCAATTAAAACTACAACATTATCAACTAAAACTAAAACATTATCAACTCAAACTACATTATCAATTGAAACTACAACATTATCAATTGAAACTACAACATTATCATTTTGCCTGGACAGCGGCACTACGGCCAACTCTTATATCAAATTCCAATGTCAAGGGATCTATTACATGCACACCAATGTGTACACAGGAACTTGGTTTTTAATGCCATCTGAATGACTAGACAGCTGTCCTTGTCAGGCCCTCCATCCTGCGTCACTGACAATCTGGATAAACTTTCTCGGCCAATGCAGGTATCAAAACCAGACCTCCAGGTTAGCGAGCCAGTGTCTTACCCACTTGGCCATGGTGACCCCCAGCACAAATCAAGCACAGATACACAGGGATCAGTGGTGCAAATCTAATATGATATTTAATAACTTTGCCATGCGCTACCCATTAACCTTCTTTCAGCATTCAAGCGTATTCTAAGAATCCCCCATCTTGATATTGTTTAAAGGTCCACTCTCGACTTAACACCAGTGCTTTCAACTTTTAATTCCAAATCTATGTTTCATTGTATTGAAGAAGCACAACCAACAAAAGCACAAAACTGTCAGTATATGAATTATTTCCGATCTGTGCTTTCGTATCATATATCGAAGTTACACCATTATTGTAGAATGACCCTACAGCGGAGAGGCCTAGATAGTAGACTCACATATAGAATTTCAATAGAGAATTTTGCACCAAGTCTACCTGAATTTTTTTTTTTTTTTTTTTACATTTCAAACAATTTTTGTAAGCTATGCAATCATAATAGAATTATGTGAATATGTTATTTTGAGAGAGGATAAATCGAAGTATGTCTATAATTATAATACGAGTAACAAAAAACACTTCAATAATATATTATACAGATGTCTAACATTCACTTCTAGTATTTGATAAAAGGACTACCTGGGCCTTCAATACCTCGTCAGTTAATAGGTTCTATATTGACTAAACAAGTTCATTCAAATTTCACAAAAAGTAAATGGACTATTGTGAAGAGTTTTATTTGAAGACATTGTCACTAGTCAAAACCACACTTAAATGTACTAAAAACTGAATCTTGGGAACTAGACTAAAACTTTATATATATATATTCCTTCATGGTCAACTTCATAAAATATAGGTTGCCAGACAAGGTGATATACTGCCACCAGCACATTTTTAAAAATTTAAATGCAATGATAAAATCCTCATGTATTTCCTAACCATTTAAGTCCTTCCTAATCTTGTATCTCCTAAAAGAAATCATCAAGTATCTCTTAATAGAAATATAAGATAGAGAGAAATGAGGTTTAACGTCCACTCGACACAAACCAGGTCATTTCAGAACTAAAATATTTAATTTTTATTTCAATAATTCGCTAGCGCGTAAGGTTCTTTAGCAGTGTGAGGAAACCCACGAGGTTGGACAGGCAACTCTATACTCTTTGTCATGTACAATCAGAGAATCGAAACCTCGCCAGTTGACTCAATGACAGACCTTACGATACAGCGCGCACATGCTAACCATCCCCCACCCCCAATAGAAATGATCATGTATCTTGTAATAGACCGTTAAAAGTTTACGGAGTATTAAACATATTAATCTAATCCACGAATAGTAGTCTTTGTGTTGAAGCATCTGTTTATTACAAACCGACTTCTACAGTTTGGGTTCGGAGCAAAACAGTAGGACGTTAAACCCCATTTCATTTCATTTCATTTCTACAGTTTGGATTTTCTTTTACACATAATTTAAGCATTTTCAACACAGAAAAAAAAATCTGTAAGTCTCCAGATTTAGTGTGGTTTATCAAGTAACTCTGAAATATCTGTATTTTTTGGCATGTAAATTAACCATGTGTAAAGTTTTTGGTCTGTCTGTTAAATATGAAATGTCTGGTATACACAACTCACAAGCTAACAAGTCGGTAATTTTTAAGTAAAGTCAATCCAAATCAATGGTAAATACACTGCAGTCAGACATCCGTTTTTTTTGTCAAAGCCAAGTCCTAATTGACATTGATATGGTAATAGTTTGTAACAATATAACAAGAAGAAGTTAAGTATCTTTAGCATCTTAGTAAGGAGGAACTAAATCAACATCAACACTATTAACTACAAGATACATTTAACTTTACTTTTACAAAGTAAATACTCTTTAAACCCCATAATCTATGTAACTATACATGTTTTCAATGACCAGTTATTCTTTTATTCAAAACATCCACTCGGGTGAAGAAGGTGAAACTTGTTAAAGTAGTTTCTGAGTCGTAAGCTTCATAGACAATCTGATTAAAATACAGACCTTTTCATTTCAGGGTTTTTTATATTTTCGATGGCCTACACCACATGAAGATCTGACCCGTTGTAGTGGAATGACACGTCAGGTCATCGAGCGGCTTTTGACCCTATGGTGACAGACATTGATTGACGCCAAGAACAGACTGTTTCATTGGCTAATTTCTCACATTAACCAGAACGCGGCTTATATAACAACTGTTCCAGATCCTAGTGTAGTAAAGACAAGTAAAAGGAAATTTTGAACTATAAAAAATGAAACGAAATAGGATCTGTGTTTTAAATCAGATTGTGATTGAGAATAAAGTAGAATCATTACCGAGAATATGTTTACTAAAGAGAGTGGCTATGTTACGAGTCTGAGCCAAGTTTAGAACGAATTCCAAAATGGCTGCCAATTTCCCCAACACCAGCTTTGAAAAAGGCAGCAATTAAGAGATGGGAAGGGTTAGGTTTAAGAATTTACTAAAACACAAATCCAGCAGTCCTAAATAATTACCTGTGTATATAGTGAAATGGGGTTTAATGTCCACTTGACACAAATTAGGTCATTTTGGGACTAACATATGGTTCATTTTTTTTTTCACTAATTCGCTTGCGCGTAGGGGTCTTTATAGCAGTGGGAGGAAACCGGAGGACCCGAGGAAAACCCACAAGGTTGGACAGGCGACCCCACTCCTTGTCCCGTACAACCAGGCCACTTGATTCAGTGACAGATCTTATGGTACAGCGCGCATATGCTAATCATTCGACCGTCCAACCACCCTATCTGTGTATAGACTAGAATCTGTAAAAACATGCTTTTCTCTGTTGTGATAAGATTTTAAAGGTGGACAAGTCTTAGATACAGTACTTTCAACTAGGAAAAGGCAGACTGCATCTAGCAAAACGAATGCTACAGCTTGAATAGTAAAGATAGACAACAATCAATATATATATTGCAATACGATCGTCTGCGATACTGTATATATACATTTTTGCCGTATCGATATGTTTCTACTTTTATTTTATATTCAAATGTTAGCTGGACTGTTTATAATGACTTCATAATCAGTCATATTATTTAGCTTTGCAGTAAACAACAAGTCTATAAAAAAATTAAAAAAAAATTAAATTTTTTTTTTAAAAAATGGGTCTTCACATAGGCTTTGTAGTAAAAAAAAAAAATAAGTGACCAAGACCTGACTTTATCCAAGTATTGCAATACTTTTTATCAAGTATCGTAATATATTGCAATACGATTTTTGGTCGCAATATACAGCCCTAACATTCAGAAAAGGGAAGATAAACTGACTACATATAGCAAAGGGAAGACTACTACTAGAAATGGAGACAATATCTAGCAAAGGTGGAGGCAACATATCACTAAGGTGGAGGCGAGGCAACATATCACTAAGGTGGAGGCGAGGCAACATATCACAAACGTAGAGGCAACATATCACAGAGGTGGGGGCAACATATCACAAAGGTCGATTAAACATAAAACCTTCATAATTAAATTTCTCAAGTCATACAAATAATGTTAAATTTCATTTTTCCGAATTTATGTTAATTTAGATCTAAATTGTATGATTAATTTTATTTAAAAAAAAAACAACAAAAGGTGAGAATTATTTTCATTGACGTCAAAAATATGTGACGTCATTGATTAGACGCATCATAGAAATAGTTCTAGAGACGCATCTGCGAGATTTGTTAAGTTGGCATGAGCATTGTCAGTTTTGTCCAATGTATCCGGTTCCAGTTCAAATTTTTCTTTTAATCAAGTCTGTGGGTGACAGTTTTAGTTTCAGTCCTGTGTTACCAGAAGAGTGGTTTGCTCTATAATATTTCTAGAGCATTGAAATATATGTCCAACAGTAGCATTATTAAGGAAGAATTTCAAATTCTGTGTTTTTAATCAAATTAAATTTGATGCTTACCTGCGTCTGAATATGAATATTGACAACCTGTAAAATCAAAGAAAATAAAAAGTAAGTACACCCAATTATTATTTCAATGAATTTCACAGTCAGTTGTGCGGTAAAAGTTTATTTCTGTGTAATATGATACATAACAGAAGGAGGGATAACCCAATTAACGCTTAACTTGTCTCCACCTTAACCCAATTAACGCTTAACTGGTCGTACAGATTTATTAAGTACCTCATCTTTTCAGATCAGAAGATAATAATGCAGATGGCCAATGATAAAATAAATTTTGATACAGTGATGTAGTAATCATTATGTGGGATATTCAATACTAAAATGAATTTAATCCTTATAAGACATATAAAAGTATATTTCCCAAATTAAAGACATTTATATGGGTATACTACTTCTGAATTTATTAATATGCTACATTAATTCTTGTAATTAATGATTAATCTGTTAAATGGTTTCCAATTGTTATCTATATATTGCACAACATTTGTGTTATATATCATTATTTGCTTGATAACGATATCTGTATGTGTATTGAAACGTAGCATGTTAATAAATTCAGAAGTAGTATATCCATATAAGTGTCTTTAATTCTTAAAATGAACTTTTGAAAATTAAATACCTTACCGTTTCTAGAGGCAGGAAAATGTCGCAAACTGCTGTAAGGAACTGTTCGCCTGCAAATATAACAATCAAGTCATGAGATGAAGGAATTTAATTTTGATACACCTTACCAATTCACTTTTTTAGAAAGATATCGGATCACAATTTGCTGTGATGTCAGAACATCGTGACAGAAGTATTTATTCAAGCCAAGATAGAATATAGAATTGTATAAAATATGATTGATCAGTAAATATGGTTGAGGTCAGTTTCAGCTCATCCAGTTGAAATAATCACCTACATAAAATCTAATAAATGAAACCGACCATATTATTGGTGTAAACTGTACTTTATGAATGACAATAGTTTATATAAACAGTGGCAACTACAGAACTTTACCTGCGAGAGATTTAATATCCACTAGTACATGTAAATATTGATACTTATATTTATGAGATATTTCACATAACAGACTACATTTTACACTAACAAACTATGTAATCTAAATATTACATGCAGTAAATCAATAATTTAACAAGATCAAACATGACTGTTTTAATCAAATAAAACTAAAAGAAAATAGGTTATTTTCTGATCGAATACATGTTATATTTGACAGTCACATGTTATATGTCATTATACTTCATTATAGACTACTATCAACTGTATATAACATGTCTAATTAGGCTGTACCAACTTGCTTTGATAAAAAGGTTCAAATTTTAAAATAACCAATACGTTTGCCAACATTGTATTAAGATAGTTTTATATAGAGAGAAAAATGGGGTTTAACGTCCACTCGACACAAATAGGTCATTTTGGGACTAACATATGGTGCAATTTTATTTCAATAATTCGTTTACGCGTAGGGTTCTTTAGCATTTAGCAGTGGGAGGAAACCGGAGGACCTGGAGAAAATTAACCCTTGTTACGTACAACCGTTGAATCAAAACCACGCCAGTTGACTCAATGACACATTATGATACAACGCGCATGCTCTAACCATTCGGCCATTCAAACTCCCCATGATAGTTTTATATGTGAACACATAATTTAATGACGAAGATCGTAACATTATTTCAACTGAATAAAACTGGTAAATTCTGTATGGAAAGCTCTTTGAATCCTTTTTTCTAGTTCGATGAACTATGAAAACCTTTCTGATACATTTTCAAATAAATACTATCATCCAGATATTAGATTGGAGATAAGCTTCGGCCCAAATCACAAATTTGACCTGGATCAACCTGTATATGAGTAAGACATGTACCTGGTGACAGCATCCATCTATTTTAATTCCAGCCATCAGGTAAGTTTGACAACTATTGCTGGTTTTAATCACTTAACTGATCGATCTTCAGATAGTTAGCAAACTGATCGATCTTCAGTTAGCAAACTGATCGATCTCCATATAGTTAGCAAACTGATCAATCTCCATATAGTTAGCAAACTGATCGATCTCCATATAGTTAGCAAACTGATCGATCTCCATATAGTTCTGATCGATCTCCAGATAGTTAGCAAACTGAACAATCTCCGATAGTTAACTGAAAGATCTTTAGATAGTTAACAAGAAACTGAATGATCTTTAGATCTTGTAAGGATATACAATTGTGAACGAACATACAGACAAAAATGACATGAAATTAAACCTGACTAAGCTATATCCTAGATGTAAATACAGTCCGTCATTTATAAAATAACAAGTTAAATGGGCAAGTTTTACAGTCAGCACATTCTATACAGTATTTTTAAACAGGAGATTAGACAAGAGTTGAGATTTCTCGCTTAAACAGGGTTCCCGCGACTTCGTCAAACATTTTTTCAAGGATATTCAAGGATAAATATACGTCAAATTCAAGGATTTTCAAGGACATTTTTTAGCCTAAAGTTACAATTTTTAATCCTAAAAATAACCAAATCATTACCAACTATCGTTATAATCTCATATCTAAAAGGAATTGAAGACATTTGAAACAAAATTAAGGATCTCAACTGAAATTCAAGGATATTTTCCTATTTCCGCAAAATTCAAGGATATTTAAGACCTTGAAAATGAAATTTTAAATTTAAGGATATTCAAGGATTTTCAAGGACCACGGGAACCCTGTATAATAATTAATAGATAACGGAAATATGCTTTAAATTTCAGTCAAATTACTCCACTCTGAACCGAGATATTAGCTTTTGAACTTCAGGCTAGCCTCGATCATTACTAAAGTCAGTACGATAAAATATACAGTTTCGATTATCCATTTTTATGTTTAATTATTTTTCAAAAGATTTATTCCATTCTGCTAAATATCACAGACTAGCGATGGCATCACGAGTTGATTATGGTCTGGATAAGTTAATTAATGTCTAATAATTTAGGTAACATTTCAGGCCTAAAAAGAGACCTGCAATAGGAAGATTTAGCTCTTGCATAAAGTATTTTTAACGCTACTACAAATGACCGAGATAACTCAAATCGACAACCAGACCACAGAAATGACTGGATAGTATTTCACAAGTTGATAAGTCAGATAAATCAATAATTAAGAGCACCATATATTTCTAAAATCATAATTTATCTACAAAATATAACTTACCATCTTGTCTTTTGTTTCAATTTAGAAAGGAAAATTTTAGGAGTTAGAAAAGAAGTTTGTTGATTTTAACCAGATGTCAGTTAAACCATATTATACACCATAGAGCTGTATAAACACACCGACACACCACGTGGTAAATCCACTCTTTATTTGTCCATGTCTTTCTAAAACGGGTCTTTTGTTTGAAATATATCAGTTCAATAATATTTTTAAAAGCAGCAGATAAACACCAGTTCTGTTGCTATCAAAACCGGGTTTTAAAGACATCTTTTACAAACACAATACTTTAAAACCTGCTTTATTTAAAGACAGGAGTGAAATGCCCTCCACTCCCACACACCAAGAATCAATGGGAAAAATCTTCAACAATTAGAGGCTAATTGTATACTAGGACTGATGATCATTTTCACCTGTAAAAAGGGTGGGGTGGGGAAGTCCCAGATATATGGTTAAACATACATTATGCAGAGAGACAGAGAGAACTGGGGTTTAACCTAGACACAAACTAGGTCACTTCAGGACAAAATTATGGTTCAATTTTTATTTCAATAATTCCCTTGCACGTAGGGATCTTTAGCAGTGGGAAGAAACCGGAGGACCCGGAGAAAACCAACGAGGTTGAACAGGCGACCCTACTCCTCGTCACATACAACCAGCGATTTGAAACCCTGCCACTTGATTCAATGACAGACCTTATGATACAACGTGCACGCAAGAGGTATTGCAGATCTTTCTTTAGGCCTGAAATGTTATCTAAATTATTAATTAGACATTAATTAACTTATTCAGACCACATCAACTCTCGGTACCATTGCTAGCCTGTGATATTTAGGGGATTGGAATAATTAAAACATAATGGATAATCGAGACTGTTTTTTTATTGTACCAACTTTAATAATGATGATCGTAGCTAGCCTAAAATTCAAAAGCTAATATCTCGGTTCAGAGTGGAGCCATTTGAAATCTTCAGCATATTCTGTTTCCATCATCTATTTTTTTAACTATCATAGTGAGAACTGTCAGCTCTTTATCTAATCTTCCATAATGTCCCTTTAATGATGAGTAAAATATTGTCAACCCTCCCCTCCTGTTACTATCTGAAGTTGTGTAAAACAAATTGTCAACCCTCCCCTCATGTTTAACCATCTGAAGCTGTGTAAAAGATTGTTGATGAAATATAAACTGAGTTTCTATGTGGAGTTGGCCATAAGTACCCAAATTCTATGTGGCTTAAATGCCTGAATAACCAGGTCTATCATACAACTAAGAATGAAATCCCTCAATGAATTATGTAATCCTGGTAAGCAAATCTAAGTGATCATCTCAGAATGGCATAATATTTGATTTTAAAATTATCAGTCAACTTAAATAAAATATACGGTCATGTTTTGGAGCCTGAGTTACATATACTTAAACTTTTGACATTTTAACATGGATTAAGTTTTTGTCTAGTGAAATGAAATGGGGTTTGGGGTTTAACATCCTACAGTGTAATACACAAAAAACACATACTTATGGAAAAACAGCTACTTATTTATTTGGGCGACGTTTCGAAGAGTATTCTCTCAACGTTATCAAGCTAATACAGTAATACAAGAATAATGAGATCAATATATACAGAAAACTGTAACAACAATTCATGAAACCATACAGGACAACAACAAGATCAAAGGGGTTTATTCTACAAAAACTAATTAAGTGTGAAGAGTAGCCATTGAGTATAGTTAAGCAATTGGTAGCTATGATGATAGATACAATACTACCGGCAGAATGGGATAGTACCTACAATACAATTATGATATACCATGGTTTGTTTTGATAATGGTAATTAACTTTATATGTCTGTGTGATTAAATGTACAATTAGACTAGAGTAACCCATATGTGTAATAATTCTAAGAAATAGAGTGGATATAACTTATAAATTGATAATAATATTAGAAAAATGAAAAATAATAAAACTCATAAAAATTCAAAGGTTTCTTATCCACTGTACTGTAGAATGAGTGGGGGTGATGGAAAACACATAATTTAGGTATATTTAATAAATTCATCATAAGCACTAGGCAGGAATATCCCTGTGTCGCGGTTGAGGTCTGGACTGTTTCTTTTAATGTGTATGGCCTCAATAATTTTGCGGGTTTTTTCTATCGGTAGGTTGGCCGCCAGGGTTCTATACGTTTTAATTCTGTGTCCTGGGTTCGATTGTGTGTGTTGGGCCACAGCTGAATTGGTAGTAGAGGATTTAGATTTATGCTGACTGATTCTCTTGTCTAAAGGCTGTCTAGTTTCTCCAATGTATTTTTTGTCACACGTGCAGGTTATTTCATAAACACATTCTTTTGGGTTCAGTTGTTTGGTTGGGGGAAGTTTGCCACTGGCCTTCAGGAGATCTTTGAGAGTTCTTCCTTTGGAAAATGTTACCTGGATGCCTGTTGGGGTTAGGAGTCTTCTGAGGTGGTACAATAGTTTGCCTTGAAAAGGTATTGTTATTCTCACTACTGGTGGTTTATCTGGTTTAGGTTGGCTTATATCTGTAGGAGGATTGGTGGTGGCTTTGCGAATTGCGAATATCGAAAGAGGGTTGAGACAGCTGGCACCCGGTGGAAAGATTGACTCCCTGAGACATCAAATTACCGATCTGATAACCAAATCCAAGATGCATCCAAGATGCGACGAGGTGCCCACAACCTGAACAAGTCCCAAAACACCGCCCTGCAGGAACTGAAGAAAGACCATAACATCACAATAGTAGATGCTGATAAAGGGAAATCCACTGTTATAATGGATAAGACTGACTATCTCAACACGGTATCTCATCTACTGGCAGATAAAGCCACCTACAGGAGGATTAGGAAAGATCCCACCCACAGCTATAGCGATAAACATACTGCCCAGTTATTGAACCTGAAAGAACAAGGAAGACTTACCAACCCGTTATTTTACAAGCTCAAGCCATCTCATCCCAGACCTCCATATGCCAGAGCCACGATTAAAACCCACAAGAATCCTATTAAAGCCAGACTCCTAGTATGCTCCAGAGACTCTGTATTTTATAATACAGCGCAACACCTGTCTAAACTCCTCTCCCCATTAGGTAAAGAAGCCCCTTCGTTCATAAAAGACTCTAAAGATTTCTGCGAAAAACTACAGGACCAACCACAAGACATACAGATGCTATCGTACGATGTCATCGATCTTTTTACTAATATTCCTCGAGATGAAGCCATTGAAGCACTACGCCACAGATTATCTTCCCTAGAGAACCCATTTGACACCAACCTCAGCACGGAAGACATCATTAACCTCACTAAATCCTGCATTGATTCCACCTACTTTTCCTGGGGAGATGATTTTTACGAGCAAGTACATGGATTACCCATGGGAAGCCCCTTGTCCCCAGTCCTCAGCGAGATCTATATGACTAGTTTTGAAAAGGATGCCCTATCCACTTCACCGGTTCAACCTACAGCTTGGCTTCGTAAGGTAGATGATATTTTTGTCATTCTCAAACAGAATGAAGACCCCAACCTCCTCCTCATCCACCTCAACAACCAAAACAACAGAATAAAATTCACGATAGAAAATGAACAGCACCAATCCCTCCCGTTCCTGGATGTCCTAGTTAAGAGATCTGCTGACAAACTAAATACCAGCGTATATAGAAAGCCCACACATACCAACCAGTACATCAATTATAAGTCGAATCATCCGCACAGCGTAAAGAAAGCTACTGTATCCACTTTAGCGCGCAGAGCCGTGAACATCTGCGACAAAGACTACATCAGAGCAGAACTTGATCACATTGAAACATCTCTAACCAACTTCAATAACTACCCCCGACAATTAGTGCAGAAAATCATCAAAGCCACCACCAATCCTCCTACAGATATAAGCCAACCTAAACCAGATAAACCACCAGTGAGAATAACAATACCTTTTCAAGGCAAACTATTGTACCACCTCAGAAGACTCCTAACCCCAACAGGCATCCAGGTAACATTTTCCAAAGGAAGAACTCTCAAAGATCTCCTGAAGGCCAGTGGCAAACTTCCCCCAACCAAACAACTGAACCCAAAAGAATGTGTTTATGAAATAACCTGCACGTGTGACAAAAAATACATTGGAGAAACTAGACAGCCTTTAGACAAGAGAATCAGTCAGCATAAATCTAAATCCTCTACTACCAATTCAGCTGTGGCCCAACACACACAATCCAACCCAGGACACAGAATTAAAACGTATAGAACCCTGGCGGCCAACCTACCGATAGAAAAAACCCGCAAAATTATTGAGGCCATACACATTAAAAGAAACAGTCCAGACCTCAACCGCGACACAGGGATATTCCTGCCTAGTGCTTATGATGAATTTATTAAATATACCTAAATTATGTGTTTTCCATCACCCCCACTCATTCTACAGTACAGTGGATAAGAAACCTTTGAATTTTTATGAGTTTTATTATTTTTCATTTTTCTAATATTATTATCAATTTATAAGTTATATCCACTCTATTTCTTAGAATTATTACACATATGGGTTACTCTAGTCTAATTGTACATTTAATCACACAGACATATAAAGTTAATTACCATTATCAAAACAAACCATGGTATATCATAATTGTATTGTAGGTACTATCCCATTCTGCCAGTAGTATTGTATCTATCATCATAGCTACCAATTGCTTAACTATACTCAATGGCTACTCTTCACACTTAATTAGTTTTTGTAGAATAAACCCCTTTGATCTTGTTGTTGTCCTGTATGGTTTCATGAATTGTTGTTACAGTTTTCTGTATATATTGATCTCATTATTCTTGTATTACTGTATTAGCTTGATAACGTTGAGAGAATACTCTTCGAAACGTCGCCCAAATAAATAAGTAGCTGTTTTTCCATAAGTATGTGTATTGCTCTACCCAGTTACTAAATGCCTCTTAAAGATTATCCTACAGTGTGTTATGAGGGAAATTTTACCCGGGCTGCAGCCTCTTCCCCCTCTTCCACCATCTCACATGGTGTCATTGAAAAAAAGGGGGGTTTTAAGCATACTAACTAAAATCCAAAAATTGAGAAGAAAAACCCGAACAGACTAGATTTACTACTAAATTCTGTGAAAGATTTTGAAAGGTTTTGTTTAATAAAATAAGAGGTTAGGATGACTAACTTTAAAGTGTAATATTATGCTGCTGCTACAGACCCAGAAACGTGTATTGTTTTTGTAAGAGTTTTTATTATTTTTTTTTTGCCGATTTTAGTCAAGAGTTTGTAGCAAAAAACTGTACATGGTGCAAACGTTCTGCACGTAGATGCGGTTGGCCTCCGTGGAACTAAATTGGTTCAATTTTGACAGTGTTTTACGCATGGGACAAAAAATAATCTCAGATTGCCCAGACAGGGGACAAATATTATCAAATACATAACAAATAAAGGCAGTATTAATGTGGGTACAAAATGACACGTTAACAGAATTTATAACAGAGATTTGAGTCAAAGAAGTTTTGTTCAATAGCGGGTTTCAGCAACAACCAAATTTACTGATGCTTGCTCCCAATGCATCCAAAGTGTGTAATTTTACTTGACAAACATTAAGATTTTATTCTGCTGTAGATTACAAATTGAACTGTATTGTATAGGTTTACTTACTTCTCACCTAGATCCTCCACAAAAACAACAACTGGTCCTTGATTATCACTTAATTCCTGAATAAAGGCATTATATGCTTTATTTGGCTGACTGGACAACACAACCTAAAAGTAAAACAAAATCATCCAGCCTTTTAAAAGGGAATCACAAATGACAAACAGCATGGATTAAATGGTACAGCAAATCAAATATACTTCAGCTGTTGATGAGGATAATCCTACTGGATTAACATCTTTGATGTTATACAATCTCGGTACAATTACATAACATCATATCAGTGGGTGTTCTATCACATTAAATTCAACTTATAATTTGGTTATCCGTGAATTGTTAAAATACAGGTTTTTTAATTTGGTCATCCGTGTATTTTGTTAAAATATAGGTTATATAACTTGGTCATCGGTGAATTGTTAATATATTGGTTATATATAACAATTTTAAACCAATCTAATATGACTTCTGAAAAGTAACATCTACCGTAACTTTTGGTTGTACTGAAAACTATACTTGTCAATAGGGAGTTTTATATAAAACATGAATTCAGAAAACATTTCTCTACCAGACCCTACAAATTTTGTTATTTGTGCATCTATAAATCACCGATACTGTGGGAAAGAACATGGCATATTTCATTAGGAAATTTATCCGTGGTAAGAAAAGCTGATCATAATTTCTCTTGCAAACTGCTATATTGTATAAGTTGAATCTGAAAGGACTTCGATCCATTAAATTATTGGTTTCATTCAGGTCAGTATTTACAACTAGATGACTTAAATAAATCATCAGATAGAAACTTCTACAGACAATAGGATCTTGGTGAAACCAAGCCAGCATAATCTATCATCTTCATTAAAAAAATGTTAAAAGAACTTGTTTTAAACCAACTGAATCCAAGTTGAGCAATTATCTATTATTGATATTTTGACTTTGTTTTTTTTTAATTAAATGTGCATTTTTTGCAGGATCCAAGTTGTGGAAATCTTAAACTACATAAATAATCGCATAACATGTGGGGGCTTCCCCTTTTCCTATGGCAACCAGCATTTACTGTCTAACTGCCCTGGATTCAAAGGTTAATTATGAGATAAATATTTATGCTTCAATATTATTTGATAAATTAACACTTGCCATCAAGTTGAAAACCTGAAGAATTTCTCCATTTAATTATATATCCATCCACAATATCAATCAATCATGCTTGGTCTTTTAGAATAAGACTCGACCCTTTCTGAATTAACCAAACTTGTACTCAACTCCACCCTTATTTTAAAAGTTAATGAGACAACCCAATGAGCACTGTCTATGACTTTCAAGTTGAATGGTCTGGTGTGTGAAGGTGCAGTTATAAAGATGGGTGGATCACTTTATATTGACAGACCATGTAAAGAAAAGCGTTTTATACGGACATCCATTGATAGACAGTCATGTGTGAACCAATGTTTAACATACAGGCATATAGTATTGATGTATAAAACATCTTTCACAAGTTCACAAGACATACTCTATAGTATTGTATCAACAAGCACGATTTCTTTAATCACATGTCACCCTTGACACAACTCTATTAAAAATAACATCCAGTGAGAACAACATTTTACTAATGCAAGATTTTGCTTTGATATTGTTCAGTATAAGAAGTTCATTCTCCCCACATCCCCTGCAGTTTAAGTGCACTGTTTTAACCCTTTAAACTAAAGCATAATGGAAATGATTGTAAACAACTTTTTTTCTTTTTTTTTTCAAAAGCTTCAAACTTGCACTTTCACTTTTTTGAAAGGGGGTGGGGTGAGAAATAAACCGACATTTCGGTTCAGAAAAGCAACAATCAGTGGCTTATTTGAAGTTAAGGTGGGGAAGGGATGTAGATTGGGTTTGAATGTATGAAGGTGCAAGTTTGATAGATGGGTTCAGGGGATTCTACATACACGAAGGTGGCAGCACTGACCATCAAACACCCACACAATCCAATGTTAAAGTTAACAAAATGACAAGATATGAATTAGGCAACTTCTAGTCTAGTTACAAGTTCAGTGATAAAAATAGATAAGTAGTTAAAACTTACTTGACACTTGTCACCTGGTGAAAAACCAAAATTTTGATATCTCAGTTTGGCTTCTGGAAAAAAAACAAATTATTTAACTCAAAGTGAGAATAAAACAGAAACACAGTTATTTGAAGTTTAGAGTAAAATTAATATCCCATATTCTGCTCATCTTGATCATTGACTACGAATGATATGTTTAATAAAGCCCAACAGAACCCAAAAAACAAAAAAATAGTCCTTATACATGTTTATCGAATATCTGTGGATTTAACGGACATTTAAATTAGGCTTCCTTTTTTAAATTCTATAAATTTCACCTGTAATTTACAGAATGGCTGCCCGATCATTTTATGATGTTTAGACAACTTTTGATTGTGGCACGGTATTGAATTAAAAGGTTATGCTTAAAGATACTTTCCCACAAAAGTATTTATCGGGTGGTTATTTCCAATAAAAGTATGGGAATATGGATATTACACACATTGGGATGTTATTTGCTTTGATTTCCATGCATGTTATAAAACATATCAACCTGTTGTGATGTCATCAGAGGGTGATATCTGAAATTACCCTCTGATGACATCACAACAGGTTTACATCACTCTGTAATGAAAAGGGACACAAATTCTTTCTTTTAACATTTTATTCACATTTTTGTACAATGTTGTTAAACGATTCGGACGATGAACTTTACCAGGCCAATGTTACTTAATTTCTTCATCTGATCATCAAGAACTTGTCTGAAACTCAAATTCTGGATTGTGTAGTATATCCACATCAGTTTTATTTGTAATCTGTAAATGTGAAACTATTCCCATACGGAATTCGGTGGGTAATATTCATTTTATTTTGCTTACTTACAAGACGAATGTAGACATTGTAGATCTTGTATTCTCATATCTTTCAGCGCACACAGCATTTTCCGCCTCACTATCATGTTTATTATACGGTCACACTGACTGTTAAACGAGTTCACAGATCACTGATTTCTGCGCAAGGTATTTATGGGCACGGCATTGTTGGCACATTCACTGATATCTTTTTGTCACTCGAAATTGAAAAGCATTTATGATTTTGATCTTCCTCACAGTCCGAGTACATTAAATCCTTGTTAAATATTTTCTGCACTTTAATTGACTAGCTTTAAATAATTCTTTGTCAGAATCTACCATATTTTTCAACCATATTTTCTACAAACTGACTTGCCCACAGCAGCTAAATCGTCCCAGCGGTCGACAAGGGTTGTAGCATATTTATTCCTTTGTAGGTAATTGGGGGCCTTTACAAGACAGTTCCATACAGATCAGATTATAATTTGGGTTGAGGGTTCACAAAGTTCTACAAACTGAAAAAAAAGGGCCTCAACTCTGGAAGTAGTCTACAGAAATGGCTGAAATTTGACAGGCTTTTCGATTTACTAATTTAAATAATATATATAAATCGGATGATAACTTTCGGCATTAGAGCGTTCATAAGGTTCAATAAAGTGCAACAAAGTGCAACAAAGACCATAACTTGATGTAATAAATAGAAATTGCTGAAATTCAATAGGCTTCTTCGTTTCACTCATTTAAATAATGCAAATAAATTTCACAAAGATCGGATGATAACTTTTGGAATAATGGCATTCACAAGGTTCAACAAATTGAAACAAGGGCCATAACTCTAGACATAATGAACAGAAATTATTGAAATTAAATAGGAATCTTCATCTCACTAATGTAAACGACATCAATTTTAAAACAATCGGTTAATCACTCTTGCAGTTAAGAGTGTTCACAAGAAATTGTGGACGACGGACGGGTGAACTGACGCACTGACCGAAGATTGTCTGATCTCTCGTTAGTAAGCGCTTGATGTATATGTTGATAAACTTGAGGGTGAGCATAAATAAAGCGTACAACAGTTTGAGATAAAAACAGTGGAAAAAGACATGGGGAAATGGATAATCTGAGAGTTTAATTAAGCTTCAATATTTATGATAAATGTACAGCGATTGAAAACAACATCGTCTTGTGTATGCAATGAATTCTTCTTCGCACCTGTGCTAGATAGTAGATATCGCTGTCAGCCAGGTCACGTGACACAAACATGACCTCTTAATATATTTTTTATAGCAGGGGTATTCCCTCGCAAAAACAATGTTTTAGAAGAATTTGAAGCAAAATTTTGATAGCTTAATTAGTTTGAATGTGTTTTTCGTCCAAATATATCATCAAATCACCCAGTTTTTACGCGGAAATCTTTAATAAATGCCAATTATACTCAATTCGTACATTCACTTGGCTCACATTGTTAATTAGCCATAGTCTGAGAAGGTACACAAATTAGAAGAACCCATTCCTGAAAGTGAAATAATTACAATCTGTCTTACCTGAAAAACAGTAGACCAACTATCAATGCTTATTAACATTAAAATCATTCTACAACATTTACAGAACCACAAGAAGGTTTTCACTAAACACGACATACATATATTCAACCACATACATATATTCAACAAGTCATACATTATTCAAACTTATGTTTATCAATAAGATCATCTTAAAAGTTACTCAACACATTGATTTTTGTAGGCAACAGCTGTCCATAAATATTTACACTCTTGTTAACTGACACAGCTGTATCTTTATCTGCCCATATAGCTGTAAAATGACCACAGCATGCCATTACCATAATACCTCCTTAGTAGTCATTGGAGGTTGGTCAATATGAGAGAGAGGGGGGGAGAGAGAAAGAGTTTAACATCTACTGGACACAAACTAGGTTATTTGGGGACTAACATATGGTTCAATTTTATTTCACTAATTCGCCTGCGCCTAGGGGTCTTTAGCAATGGGAGGAAACCGGAGGACCCGGAGAAAACCCACGAGGTTGGACAGGCAACCCTATTCCTTGTCACGTACAACCGGGGAATTGAAACCACGCAAGTTGTCTCAACCAGACCTGATCTAATTAGCGAGCCAGTGTCTCACTGAGCCACCGTGGCTTCTCCCGACTTTTAAGTTTATTTCTTGCATAATTTGAATGGACATAAATCATTAAATACTACATACCGTTCATTTAACAATGATAAATAGTAGAAACTATATGAATAGGGTGGCATGATTATCAATATGAGATTATTTAAACCAAGAAATAAATGGTACGTGAAACTAATGGATCCTAAAGGAAATCAACAAATGCCTATTGAAATTAACTTTGTTATTTTGTTGGTAAGTAGGTTATAAAATTTTCAATAATCAATCCGATTTACAGACTTTATATTGTATTCAGATGTAACATTTGTTTGGGTGGTTTGATATGAATATACAATACCTAATACTATTATATCATGTTCCACAGCATGTGTATACCTAGTACATATAACTATCCTTCCTAGGTCAATATCAAACAGCAACTCAATAAAAAAAACAAATAATATCAAACAAATAGCTAGAGAGAGAGAGAGAGAGAGAGAGAGAGAAATGGGGTTTAACGTCCACTCAACACAAACTAGGTCATTACGGGACTAACATATGGTTTAATTTTATTTCAATAATTCGCTTGCGCGTAGGGGTCTTTAGCAGTGGGAGGAAACCGGAGGACCCGGAGAAAATCCACGAGGTTGTACAGGCGACCCTACTCCTTGTCCCGTACAACCAGGGATTCGAAACCACGCCAGTTGACTCAATGACCGGCTTTATGATACAACACGCACATGTTAACCAATTGGCCATCCAACCGTAAGGGAGAGAGAAATGGGGTTTAACGTTACTCAACACAAACTACGTCATTTTGGGACTAACATTGTTCAATTTTATTTAAGTAATTCGCTTGCGCGTAGAGGTCTTTAACAGTGGGAGGAAACTGGAGGACCAGGAGAAAACCCACGAGGTTGAACAGGCAACCCCATTTCTATCACATACAATTGGGGAATGAAAACAACGTCAGTTGACTAACTGACAGACCTTATGATACAGCACACCATCCAACCACCCAAAACAAATAGTATCATATCAAAAGCTGATTTCACAATTTGAATATTTAAAAGGGCATTAGATAAGATTACATAAAGAGCCGATATTTCATGCTATAATAGTTAAAGAAACAGTTCATGAAAACAGGATATTCTGAAAATTTCAGTCAAATTGCTTCACACTGAACCAAGATATTAGCGATTCAATTTTAGGCTAGCCTCGATCGTTATTACAAAAATTGGTACGATAATAAACAGTCTTGATTATCCATTGTTACGTTAAATTATCCATCACAATATGTATTCAAATCCACTATAAAATGAAATGAAATGGGGTTTAACGTCCTATGGTTTTGCTCCGACTGGGCTAATGAAGACGGGGAACCACTGAAAGCATATAGAGTTAATCATGGTTAATGTCTAATTAATAATTTATATATCATTTCAGGGCGAAAGAAAGACCTGCAATAGACAGATTTAGCTCTTGCATAGTGTATGTTGGAAGTCATTTTTCAATTCAATTAAAATAATCAGTTTTAGGATATTTTTTGGTGTATGTTTATATTGTGAATGGTCCATATAGTTGTAGAGATTTGATAGTGTTTCATTTAATAAGTATCGTGTGTAATATTAGCAATCGGATTAAAGTACAGATCTATATTTCGTTTCGTTTTTTATACTTTCGATGGTCTACACTACATGAAGATCTGACAAGTTATAGCGATAGGTCACGTCAGGTCATACGAGCGGCTTTTGATTAACCAATCAGCATTGATGTTACTAGTGGATTACCCACAGTTCCGTACAAAACTCGCAGTAACAGACGTTTCATTGGCCAATTCTTCACACCATTCAGAACAGTCAACGATAACAACTCTTCCAGACAAGTAAAATGAAATTTTGAATTATAAAAACAAAACGAAATAGGATCTGTGTTTTAATCAGATTGTAATATTATATACTTTATATATACTATTCAAAAAAAGTAGGGGATATTTGATTTTGGGGGCATAATACTAAAATATGCAAATGACTACGAAAAAAAGTCACTATAGAACCTAACAGAAGAAACATTTCCAGTTACATGTGACGCCCAAACGCACCAATAGCTAC